GACCGCGAGTCTGTAGCAATAAAACAGTCGCCCAATAAACGGCCACGAATTAATTGGTAGTATCGTTTTATATTTAATTACCCAGTTTTCGTTACCAACTAACCTCCATGGTTGAAAATAAAATTAGTAATTAGTAATTACACATTACAATTTACGAACCCATACAAAATATGATGTATATATATATGTGTGTGTACAATGGTGATCTATTGGTTAATATTTGATAATACTTACTATATGATGTAACTTAGTGAGATTTTTATTTTAACAACTTATATACACATGTTACATGTAATTAATTTAAGACAAGACTTTCCGTATTTTATACGATAAAGTTTAATTGACTTTGACTTTCAAATATTCTCATTGATTTTGCATAATATAATAGTGTCAGATTGAAAATAACTTTCCGGACTTTTATTTATAAACGAATAAACAATACATTAATTTTAACTCAATGTAGGTATATCTATATTCTCAATTAGAGTATAGGTATCCCAAATTACAAAAATATTAACCAAATAAAAACGGATACTTAACGGTTTTGTCGTATGTTTGACCATTTTCATATAATTTGGTATGTTATTCGTATATGATCTTAATTTACGTTTAAGAGAATTTTTTCAGAGCTAAAATAAACATAACATTGTAGCAAATACCTGTAGCCAACTCTGATATGAAATATAAATCATGCAACTCAATCAATTACATTTGTAATGTTTAAATCAAAGAGTTGTATACAGTTGATTTTTAATTGCTTATGAAACTGTTTAAAACGCTTAAAAAAAAAACTACTTATACTTACATAATAAATAATCGTAAAAAATATATACTAACAAAAAATTGAGTTTTGGGGATAATGGAAATGAATGTAATAATGTATTGATTATTAAAAGGTACTTAAGTGTCCACAATCATTTGTTAATAGTGTTTATGGATAATAATAGCAACATTTATTTTATAAAGTTATAAACAGTTATTTTCATTGAAGTACCTATATACGAATTTGCTGTAGAATAAAATTGTCTTGAAATTAAAATACGCGTTGAGGGGGGTAGATCCCCCTTCCCCATGGTTCTGTCTGAATAAAATGCGTGGGTGGTGCTACAGAAATTGTCTTATCTCACTAGAAAAAAAGTTCACGCTGCTACTGCGCACAACAACTTAATATGTACAATTGTACAATGTACGACGAGGATAAGTCGTTCAGCAAGTATAATAGTTAGACACGTGTCAAAACTTGTAAAATATTCAAAGTTTAACTTTGCAAGATAAATATGAATGTTTAATGTATGTAGCCATGCAGTATATGTATAACCATATGGGTTATTAATATGTTTAGTATCCAAGGTGATAAAACCACAAAAACTTTGTTTAAAAAGCTATTCTCTAATTTGAGAACTAAAATCGAAATTTGGGTACATTTATTATTTTCGTTGTAGGTACACTCTAATTTCTAAATAATGTTCCTTTCTAAATGTCTGAATAGCATTTATTTTATACCGAATAATAAATGTAAATACGTATTCTGACATTTTGTTATGAATGGTCGTAGTTGTATGATATTATAAATTCAAAATTGTGGATATTTAACTTATAAGCACCAAGATATGCACACAATTACGTCATATGTTCATGTTTTTTTTTACATGCTGAAGGTTTTTAGTTAGAATAAGTAAAAATGCACTTATTGTTTTATTTGACCAACAATGTGTGCACCGTTAATTTTGAATAAACGTTAATTTAATCCTTTTACTAACTCAGTTCAACAACTCTGTCGTAACACAAACATTTAATTTTTCCTACTATTTTGACTAGGTACCTACAGCATGATAGAAAATTCCGAAAAACGTTAAAAGTTCAATGCTAACAAAATTAATTATGTTTATTTTTTTAAATGATTTATTGAAATATAATATAACAAGTATTAGTGTACCTACCTATTACAAATTCCACAGAACATATTACAGCCTTCTATTTAATAAATAAACGCCTCAATTGAATAACTTAATTGTTTCTTTTTAATCTAAAGAGAGAAAAAGAAACAATAATTGTTTATTTTTGAAATACTTTGTTTATATCAGTTTTTAAAAAAAAAGTGTCTACCCACACTCTTTGATTAAATATTATATTTATTCAGCTGTACCTACACTTGTCTGTAGTCAGCAGTGGTAGGCAAGATGCACCAAAAAACGTTTTAATATTATCGTTCTGTATAGGTCAGCGTTGAACCCTGGTCCCTGATGATGACAATGTTGATACGTCTTGACAACATTATCGCCTCCTTTGCCTGCTCTGAATTATAAAAGGCGAAATAGGTTTTTTCGTACAAAAATGTATTATTTAACACTTAATTAATGCGTTCGCTAGTTAAACATTTTTTCTTTTGAAATTTCCTGATCAGATCTGTTGCCAGTGTATGTACGACATATTTATCTATACAGCGTATAGTCATGCAGTAGGTACCTACAAACCTAACCCTGTGTATACGGGATGCTTATAATTCTGAGACAGAAATCGTGTATCACCGCCGTTCATCATAATCATAAATTAGTTTGATTCTCAACAATCAAATAATACATTAAAATATTACATTTTGATCATAGTCTCCACAACTGGTTCTATTAAAAGGATCAATAATAGGCACCTATACAGGCTACAGCATCATTAAATAAGCCTGTACTGTATCGTAGTTATTAGACTTTATTGGTTACATTCCTTTGATAACATTGCGCAATACATTTTAATCGTAAAATATCAATTACCTACACATTGGCATAATGTATTAACAATTGATAAATTTGTAAATTCGTCTCTTAAGTATTTAAAAAATATTCAAATTTTGTTTTTCGTGACATCCTGCTGTTCTAGCATCTTCTATTTTGTAAGAATTATACGGTGTTAAACCTTTTCAGGATTTTTTTTCTGTTTGGGTTAATAAGGATCAATGAAATATGTTACGCAACCCGGGATTTTCACCACAACTAACCTGCCAAGCAAACACGTAAATGGGCACCTAGTACGGGGGTTTCCGTTTTCCGCCAAAATGACCCTCGCTCGTTATCACCATGGCCGTTTTCCGCCAAAAAAAATTTATAAATTACTTTTGAGAGCCCCTGAACTGAAACCATCAAATAGTGATGATTACGATGTAGGTACGTGCTATTATTATATATTTTATATAATTTTAATTTTTATAACAATGTATTATTTGGACGACAAACTTGTGATGTTTATAACCATAACAATTAATACTTATACTGTTTTTAAGTACAATTATAATAGCGTATGCGCTGGGAAACACACTGGGTAGTGGGTACACCTATATGTAGGAAAATAGTAATTGTAAGATAAGATATAGATAAAAGTTTATGATCGATAAACTGAGGTGAGGCGCGTGTGTGATACAAGGTGATGCGCGTACATTGTGATCATTACTATTTGATGGTTTCAGTTCAGGGGTTCAAAAATAATTTATAAATTTTTTGGCGGAAATCGGAATATAATCTTTGGCAGAAAACGGCTATGGTGATAACGGGCGAGGGTCATGTTGGCGGAAAACGGTTACGCCCCCTAGTACCTACCCCTAAAAATCCTTAGAAAAAATCAAAAACCCGAAATCTATATATGCCGAATCATTTTGTTTTCCGAAAGGTCAAGAGGAGATAATTATTTTGATGAGCGTTCGGGCATTGGTAATTGGGCCACAGCCCACAATCCCAGTTTTTTTTCAAAGGAGACTACCCGTGGTAACTGCAGAGCCACTAAACTTTACCATTTGTAAAAGGTGCACCTGGTAACTAAACCACTACTTGACTACCTATTTAGTATTTTTTATGAACTTTCTTAAACTTGTTGGGGAGCACGTCATGAGCGTATCACAATATATATTGTCACCAGAGCTGGCCTTAGTTCTAGGCCTCGAACATGTGGCATTTTGACCTCACATTAAAAAAAATTTAATCCTCAGGGTTAAAAGAAATATCCCTGCAGGTCCAACCCATCTTAAGGCTGGCTCTGCTTGTCATAATATCGTAATAATATGATGTTTTTGAAATATCCGTCAAGTGGGACAAATTAAGTAATAAATTATCTGATATCAATATAATTTTAATTAAAATATTGAAAACCTTGTTTGATTTTATACAATCTGTATCTCATTACTTTTTTAGCTGTTTATTTGGAATCATTACTAATATAATTATTTTAATTTACAATTGACTGTGTATAATTTTAAATACATTTTGATTGGATTAAATAATTTTGTGCCATTATTGAATGAATAAATATGTAACTTTTACTAAATTACATTTATTTATATACCAGGGAACTGGTTTTTGAAAAAAAGGGTCATGGCACTAAAAAAGTACGTATATGAAGTGAGCCCTTCCCCAATACCAAGGTTGGGTTCACATAGACGCGCGTCTATGTAAGCCCAGCCTAAGAGCCTTTTCAAAATGGTTTTAACTTTTTAATCATTAGTAACAAGTTTTTTTTTTAAATTTATAACTTCATATTTAATTTAGAATATGTATTGAAATACATGAATACATTCAGCATTCAAAACGTGAAACCAAATTATTCGGGTGCAAAGCCCTTTAAACATAGCAGGATTAATAAATAACAGTGAATAGATAGCACATTACTATTATTACTGACCAAAATGCTTTCAATGGTCTTTTTTTGGCACAATTTAAAATTTTGCAGCCTTTCTAGTTCAGTAGATATACTAATATTCGAGTAAAAACTAAAATAAAATTAGGAAAAATAAAAAAAAACTATTATTTATCAATGTTTTTTTTTTACTATCAAATAAAGTCAAATATACAAAACGGAAAATAATAAACAAAAATGTATATGATGTAGATTATTCATATATTATATAGTAAAAATGAATAATTGTTTCCATGACAAATAATTAAAATATTACAAGAACATTTTCTTTCATTGTACAAAATTGTTCTCTTACAAAAATATTGTTTAAAGTTAAGTCCTGATGTTTAATCTGACTCACTTTCGGCAGAATCATAATCGCCAACGTCAATATTCATTTTGTATTCCTGATCGCAACCCATGTATGCATCACTCATGAAATACAAAGTATAAGAGTAATTTCCTAAAACAAAATAACAAGGTTTAGTTTTATAAGCCATTAAAATTGTCCCATATTTGTTGAGCTGAAATAGTTATTACTAAAAGCTAAAAAAAAAAAAAGCCATTAAATTATTACCTGGATTGGGTGCTACAAAATCTAATTTCACTTTGGCTTTTTGTTGTAGTGTTAATCTTTTGATTGACAACAAGGAGTTATTTTTAGGATCTCCTATTACTAACCACCAACCTTCTTCTCTTTTCTATATTAATTAAATATATAATGACAATAAATTGGGCTATTAACTTTATTTTAATTTTATTTAAATGCTTACTTGTGGGAAGAAGGGAGCAATAACAGGGCCAACAACTTCGTCTTCTCTTTCTAAACTTACAGTGACATTTACACTGGAACCAGCAGATATGCGGTTTTTGTTTGCCACTTCGTAACTTAATTCAATATTAGGATAACGATTACAGAATCTCGCAACATCAGCCATTTCACTATCGCCAAGCTGCAGTAACTTTATACGGTCTTCATCTTCCAATTCCATTATATCGAATACTGTTTCTATACCCTAATATAACAATACAAATAAGGTAAAACATATTGTGCTAAAGGTTATATAATTGCATAGGAACAAAATTTACCTTATCTGTACATCTCTTAATAATATCTGATGTAAAATGAGGTAATTGTTTAAGGTATGAATCTTTAGCCCACATTGCTTGAGTAATCATTTGAGCTAGTTCCATTGCAGCGACAGCTGGTGATAACCAACCATTAGAACTCAGTACATCAACACACGCTTGAATTAAACGTATTGCCTGTTAAACAAAAGGTGCATGTGCATATTATAGAAACTGTACCAATGTATAAAATATAAATTCATGAAAAGTAAAAATAAATATTAATAATATATTAATTACTCTAGCCAATATGACTTCAGTATCTCCTTGTAATTCTGCGCCAAGTTGTAAACGTGATAAATGAGCTTGAAGTAACAAATTAACCTTGACGTGAGGATCATTGTACCGTATAGACGTTTGACCAGAAGCTGGCTGCAACTTATTTGGCAAACGCTGGGCAAGACTTTTAAGTAATGTATCTTCGCGATGTCTTACAGGTATCTTTTCATACTCAGCAGCGGAACTAATAATTTCCAACAGCCCTCGAATTTTGGTTTTATTGTTGAGTGATAATGAAAATAATTCTAAAAAATGTATTTGGAAAGTGTTATTTAGAAAAATAGTGATATATATTTAATTTGCTCTACATTACCAATAGTTGTATAGTTGATATAATAATAAGCAGCAATCATGCCCAAATTTAATGGAATACAGTCAATCTCATCTTCAATACTAATACACTAAAAACAAGATTATATTTTAATAAATTTAAATAATAATTTGACTTTCAAACAATTATAGGCACATAATATAAAACAAAAAATTATAAACCTATTTTAGATTATAAATGCATACCTTTGATTGATTTAAGTCATTCAATGTAGTCTCAACAAGTTCTGACAGATAATCTGATAAATGTCTATGTGAAACTCCTTGTAAATTATAATAATTGGCATTTTGAGTAAGTCGCCTATAAAGGAATGTCCAGGTCATATAATCAACTGCATCCTGTTTATTCTCAATGGTTTTTGTTACTATTTCAGCATTGAAGTGATCATGTAATCGATGGTCCAAATGACTCTAAATCATTTAAAAATAGAAAACATGATAATAAATGTACATTATAGGCATAGAATTAAAAAACTATACTTCTACTGGTAAAGGTTCGTTCAAGAACTTCTTGAAGAAATCTTTTTTTGATGATTGACACATCAATACACATTTGGAATCATCATCATCTAATGGTCGATTAGCTCTTCCTACCATCTGAATAACATCAGTAATTGGATAATCTTCATAACTGAAAATAAAAATAAAAAAACATATCAAACTCAAAATGTTCAATTTTTCAAAATGTAACACTTACGCATGTGTTTTTCCATCATAGAATTGTGTATCCATAATTATAACTAAATGAGATGTAATACTCAAAGCCCAACAAAGACTTCTTGTAACAACTACCACTTGAATGGCTCCAGTAAAAAATAGTTGTTGGACCCATCGTTGATCTTGAGAACTAACACCTTCATGTAAATATGCTACTCCTTGGAGCAGAGTCTCTTTCAATGTCTAAACCATAATAGTTCAATTAATTCCAAAAAATGTCAAGCAAACTTGTCAATTGTTTGTATGATAATACCTTATCAGAAATTTTCTCAACAAATGGTTTGATATCATCTTCTTCGGCATGTATAAAACGGTTGGATTGGTTATCAGCAGCAGTGTATGTTAATAGATCAATAGCTGTAAGTCGAGCCTGTTTTCTTGATGGAACGAATATTATCACTGGTTTCTCCAAACTGTACTTCAGTATAGCATTATATGTTGGTTTGCCCATAGCTACTAATCTGGTAGCATTGTGAGTGACATTGTACCCCTAAACAATTAAAATAATCAAGAGATATTTCTCTTTCTATTATTAAATACAAATATAATATTAAAATATGTTAGGATTAAATTACAAACAACTTAAATTTTAATCTAACTTATATTTTATATTATTAAATTGAATAGTTGACATTACTTGCACATGAAGTTCTAATGGTACAGGTCGGACACTGGGGTGGAAATTGAATGTGGTGGTAGCTGGGGCTCCTAACCACAATGCTAAATCTCTAGCATCGGCTAATGGAGCTGACAGAGCAACTACACGCATTTGTTTTTCAGTTTGAGAAGCAATATACCGCATTCTAGAGCAAACAATTTCTAATACCGGCCCATCTTCACCTCCAATTAACTACAAATTTATAAAAAATTACTATTTAGTATTCATAGTAAATACATTTATAATATTAATTATAAAATTACCTGAAGTTCATCAACAATAAACAGATTAATGTTTTGGACATTTTTCCTTTGCTTCCATCTGCGAGACAATACATCCCACTTTTCTGCAGTTGTCACAATTATTTGTCCTTTAGCTAATAACTATCAACAAAAGTAAATTTTAATTTAAATCACTGATGAAACAATTCTCAAATAACAAAATCTTATACTATAAGCATACAAAAATACTGATTGATAGTCACATTCAGTGGTGGCTTGTATACAAACAAATTGGAAATGCATACAAAAATAACACTTATTTATGGCAATGTCATACTAGAATAGTATCCTATTGCTTCTATAATAAATATATATTTATAAGCAAGCATGTTAATATCTCTTCAGAAAAAAAATAATATAATTTTCTTCAAATTTGTTGTACAGAAATCCTCACGTCTAATAGGACTTGTTCACCGTTTCAATCAACATGAAGCTTATAGGAACCAACTATTTACAAATGTAGAAGGGTGCAATTAATACAGATACTGAACAGTTTGCATTTGAGTATTTAAATACTTTATCCTAGCGTTTAAATAAAATTTGTTCACAAAAAATATATTATGAACCTATTGATTTTGACTATCACAGCTGATTGGGGCAGCAACCGTACATGATACTGCTGATGCTATTTATAGATTATGAATGTATATAATATTATCTATACATCTTATCTATAACAAATACTCATACATCATAATGGTTTATTTATTAATGTGCATAATAAGTCACCTTTGGTTGTATTTGAATCTTCAAATATTGTTCCAATTATCATCTATCTAGCATAAAACACTTAGATAGTATACACTTTCTTAATAAAATTAGAGTTCAAGTTTTTCATTTTGATGAAATTGAATTGTATAGACCATGGAAATGTACTGAATATTGGAGAATGATGAGTAATAGTGAGATTGTAGGCAACAAAATTATGGACCTCACACAATAAGTGATATATATATATATATTGATTATAAAAATAACAACACATGTTTCGTTTGGACCACTAAGTTTTTGTAATACACACAATAATATTGAAGAAAATTTACTAACCTTTAAATCTGTTCCGATTTCTCCTGTTAACAGCACTACTTTTCTAGCAAGGCCAATTCCAAAAATAACATGCCAGCTAGAATAAATAAGTTCAGCTTGGGATTCCTTAGCTACTAAATAAACACAACGATGATCTGGATTTTGACTCAGAAGACGATACAGTGCAAACTCAGCTATAGCAGTTTTTCCAGATCCAGTTGGAGCACCAATAAACACATTTTCATCGCTATTATATACAGCATTAAATACTTGTGTCTGGATAGGATTGAATTGATGGAATCTCTCAGCATAAAGTTCCTCAAACACTTTATTACGAAGAGCAGATACCTAGAGTGAAAATTAATGATGAACCAATAGAATGTTAAGTAAATTATACACCAAAATGGCTATAAAATTTACAGGCAGTGGCTGCAAGTCCAAAAGTTCAGTAGGTGGAACATTTTTTTCTGGAAGTAGCAAATGTCTAAATGAAACAGGTAATTGAGTTTCTGAACCAATCCAACGATCAGAAACAATTCTGCAAAGAAAACATGTGATGTATTTGATTAGAAGTTATCCATATTAAATTAGCTGATAAAATATTTAAGTTAAAGTATATGCTATAAAACCAAAACAAACTATTTACCGGAGGAAATACTGAGGTGGTAAAGGTTCAAAAACAGGGACAAAAAATTTAAGCATATGTTCATCAGTAGCATATTTTGCTTTTAATAAAAAGAATTCATGATGAAGAACCACTTCAGAATCCACGTCTTCGACCAATACCCAAAATGCTTCAGAATTTCCATGTAACTTTTCATCCCACTGAAAGTCAGGAGTAATTGTCAATTCTACTCTTAATGTAGATCTAAAAACAGTTAAGTTGGTCAAAATAATTAGTTACACTATTTTAAACTAAATTAATAGGTTTGTTGTTACCTAGTTACTGGTTGAATATGTGTGGACAATTCTAATTTTGGAAATTGATGTACATATCTATGAATTGTTTTTCCAAGTTTAGGAACGCGAATTAATTCACCTATTTCACTTGGACCAAGATCATATAATCTTTCCCAAGGGAAATTCTTTTTTTCAATTTTTCTTACAATTTCTTCAGGCATTTTTCTAAATTGTCTTAATGGTGACATGCTTTGCCACATGCGTCGATCAATCATTTTACAGAGACTAAGAGCTTTATCAGCTAGCTGTGCCCAACCACGATGCAAAACAATTTCAAAAATAGCACGCATTAAACGAGCAGCAGATTGAGTCACAAATACCATATCAGACATCAATGCGAAACCTTCAAGTTTTAACTGAGATATATATGCTTGAAGCAGTATATTTATCTAATTGTTAATCAACACACAAATTATTATGATTAATAAATACACAAGAATTAACTATAACTATATATTCTTACCTTGGCACTTGGTTCTTCTATACCTTCTTTAATAGGTATTGGTACGCGTTCCATTAATTTTTGTAATTCCAATTTCTCTTCATCTCTTACTCCAATATGACGAAATTCCCCCGATAACGAGAATACTCTAAATAATTCAATTTCACTCAATGTTGGTTTTAATAGTTGATTATATGTAGCCATTGTGTCATGAGTACAATAATAATGACTAGCGATACGTCCAAGTTCAGTTACCTGTAATAATTAATATTTGAATACATACATATGTTATGTCCCACAGTCAGTATAAAAAATAAAAATAAACGTGATAGTACCTGGAAATAACCAGATTTTCTGTCATATTTAATGAGATTACTTCTTTCTAATTGTATTGCAGCAGTGTGGATAATATCTGCTCTATGTGTCTCCAATAACGGATCTACTTCCAACTTTTCTGGAGTAATAGTGTATAAAGCAGGGGAACGCAACATACGAATATACAAATAACTATAACCCAACCATGTTACAGCTTCTTTAACACTTTGTATTGTACCTAAAAAATAAAAACAATGAGTCAATATTTTAATTCAAAAATAACTTTTAAAATACTAACCAAGTACAATCTCTGCATTCAACATATCTGGCAGTTTTGAAACCATTTGTGACTCAATTGGAAGCTGTTGATTCAACAAAGACAAGTAATATTGAAGTTCACTATGATTTGTAATAAGTATTCCTTCACCTTTTGTATCATATTGAGGACGTCCAGCGCGACCCAACATCTGAAAAGTTATTTAAGTAAAAAAAACTGTACTTCAAAAAAGTATTGCACACAACAAAACAAAAATATATTACCTGTAAGACATCTAAAGCACCGAGTTCTACCCAACGACCTTTTTCTGGACTATAAACTTGAGTGCCTTTAATTATGACAGTATGAGCAGGTAAATTTACTCCCCAAGCTAAAGTTGCTGTAGATATTAGTACTTGAATATGACGATCAGCAAATAAATCTTCAACTAAAGTTCTGTCCACGCGGGTCATACCAGCATGATGAATAGCGAAGCCATATGGAAGTAAATCTCTAAGTTCTTGGTTCTAGAACAAAAAAAATATACAATTTTAATTATTTGAAAAAATCAATTGTGACTATATTTATGTTTACTTTGACTTGTTCAGCTTCAGTGCGCAAAACTTCCATAGATGCAGATCCTTCACGTAAAAATTGTCCAAGAGTATCTTTTTCCAAACACATATCCCTAATAGCTCTTGCAGTTTTACCTATATATAATTATAAAATACTAAAATGTGGTTACTGCATGATATTAAGAAAATTACCTGTTTCTTTTCTAGAATGAACAAACACCAAAATCTGATTACGGCCAGCATGCTCCATAATTTTCTCATAAACAATTTCGTTCATAACTTGGAAACGTTTAACAGCCTTTTTTTCTGTAATACCTATATACTGTTGTTCCAACGGAACTGGTCTAAATGAATTATCAAAATAAAATAGACCCTGAAAAAAAAATTGTATAATTTATGCACATCATTTTAAATAAATAGTTCCAATTATTTTGTTAACAATTTTTACTTACAGAATCAGGATTAACTCTAAGTAATGTTGCAACATCTTGGTAATTGGGTAATGTAGCACTAAGTCCAACTAAACGGACATCTTCTTGTATAGTTTCTATATTACGAATTGTTCTGGCCACTAGAGCTTCAAGGACAGGTCCACGTTCATCATGTAACAAATGTATTTCATCCTAAAACAAAGATATTATCTATAAAATATGATACTATAAAATTATGTGAAATAATGGGTTTATGCTCACAATAATAATTAGCCTCACTAATGATACAAAAGTTTTTTCACCACCTTTCCTAGTTATAATATCCCATTTTTCTGGAGTACAAACAATAATTTGTGTAGCTTGTATCTGCTCACGTGTTAGTTGATGATCACCAGTTAATTCAGATACTGTTAGATTATAACTACTTAACCTCTGTAAATTAATATAGACATTAGATTATTTCAAAATATAGATGAGTATAAATTTTTAACAGTATTTTCATAGTAATTTTTACCTTTCCAAAACTTCCAACCATTTCTTGTACCAATGACCTCATGGGAGCTATATAAATGATTTTGAACTCATCAGCATTTATAGTACCATCACTATTGATGTGTTTTCCAATTTCTCTCAACATACATAATAGTGCAACATTTGTTTTACCGGCCCCCTACAAATAAATAATATAATATAAATTAAATTTATAGGGGTTAACTATTTTAAATATGTAATTACTGTAGGAGCACATAGCAACAAATTTTCATCAGATTCTAGAGCACTTTTTTGTAATCTTGATTGTATTCTATTAAGTGTTTTGAAATCTTCAAAAGCAGGTTGTACATACTTTGGTAACTTATCAATGGGTACTAAAGACTCATCCTGATTATAAGGTTTAGGTTTTAATGCAGGTACGTGTACTTCTTCATAACCTTAAAATATATAAAAATATATTATTAATAACTGTATAATATTCATTAATCATTTATTCATTTATACCTTTCCGTTGTTTCCGGAATGATCCATCTGGGAGCTGGCATCTCTTATTAGACATAAAATGAGATCCTTGAGCAAATATTAAATCATCCAAATCTAAGACTTTTCTGGTACCAGCGACCTGTTGTTTAGGATCACCACCACTCATGTCATCATCATCTTCATCAGCAGCACGTCTCTTCTTATTAGCAGCACTAGCACTACTTTCTTTAATATCATCTACCTCTTTAGTATCCATTTGACGTAAAATCTTTGCTAAATATGGATCAGATTCCATTTTTTTACGCAATGCTGCACGTTCAGACTCACTTTGTGATGATGCCAATAGTGTGCAATACAAAACTAAAAATAAATATCCATGCATATTAAATTAAGTTATAATAGGCTAATTATTAAAATAAAATTCTCATACTCATAAGTCGATTTTTTTTCAATATTTTAATAAAATCAAAACAATCATATCCAAGTAAAAGGACTAGTTGATTTTCACAATCTCGATCATCACCAGCATTTTTCAATACAGATAATACTTCTGCTGCTTTAGCTTGAGATGCCATGGCATCACTATAATACTTAGACAAACTTCGTTGAAGCCAATAAGCATCAATATCCAATGCGTGCAGATTTTTTTCTTTTTTAGCTTGTTCTACAGGTTTTTTACCAGAGCGTTTGTCCAACTAAAAAAGTAACAATGAAGTCTTCAAATTAAATGTAATCAATAACAACTAAATAACTTACATTTTCTGCATGAATAGTAGCATCTAATTTTGATTCTTCACCTTCATCTTCATGATCGTCACCTTCACGAATTTCACCATACACGTCTTCATCATCTTCTTCTTCACTTTCTTCAAATTGAACATTGATACCGTATGTTTCATCAATATTATCTTCTAAACACGAATAAATTATTTTTGAAAAATATTCTTCAAGTATAAAAAAATATGAAATATAATTTACCTGTATTGGCAGTGCCTTTTTCATCAGTTCCAAAATCAGAAATTTTTTTCCCTAAATTAACTAAAAGTGCAAATCTTTCATCAGCTAAAGAACCCAGTAAACTTTCAGTGTCAGATTTTTTCTCCTTATCTTTAAGACGATCATTTTTTAGTACGGCTAAAACTTCGTCAGCTGCACCACACAGAATATCTCTAGGCTAAAATTGTACAGTATTTTTATTTTCTAAAAGTTAATTAACTTATGAAATTAAGAGACTATTTAATGGTTAGAATCTAACCTGATCACCAAGTGCCTCCTGTATGAAACTTAATAACACTTCATATGTTTGTCTAGTTTCTTGTGTTTTGGGTCTATACATAATTCCAACCATCTCATCAACACCATCTGATAATAGTGTGGTACCTTTCATTCGAGCAAAGTCATATTGCGCTTCGTCACGCTTTTGTCTCCTGAGTAATACAAAATAAAAATGTTTGTAAAAAAAAATGGGTATATGATAAAATTTTATGAAAATTGTACTAACTTGGCTTTTCTTTCTTCTGCTTTCACAGGTTTAGTTCTTTGAAAACGATCACCCATCTTTGTACCTTCCAACTTTCCAACCAACGAACATACTTCACCTGTGGCCTCATCGCGGTTACGTCGATCAATGAGTCGCACATCAGCTTGTAATACAAGATTCGAATTCTGGAATTTATAATAAACGATTGAATGTTAACTGAAATAATAGTACATGTTTTAACGTTTAGTATTTGCACTTTTTACTTACCGCTTTGTATTCGTATTGAAGCTGACGGGCAGCTGCATCAGCCATGATTAATTATTTTCTTTTATTCGTCCAAATCTTTAGGTTTTTTTTTAATTGTCAAGCACTAAAATCATTATTAGATAATAAATAGTGTGTAAAAATAAAAACGTTTCTTTACGTTTAAACGCACCACAAATGTATAATATCAAAATAGGTATGATGAATACTAAAGATACGAAACGAACATGACCGCCGATCAGAAACGAAATCCGCGTGATTTGTTTATGCCGCTTATCAACCGTTCAATGATGCCAACTGTGCGTTTTTAATCATTGAATCCTTTCTCTTTTTTTTATCATGCTATTCAAAAGAGCGGTAATTTGAAATATTACGATGTCACACTGACACAGTGTTATATGAAATATATTCTGTGGTATTATCATAGAAAGTATTATGTAATCCGAATATTTAAAAAAATGTATGTTGGTCTGTTCATCTGTTTCTTAGCTAGAGAGTTAGCGTATTTTTCCAACCCCTATAGTTAACAGAAGAGTAGCTCACATATCAATTGTTCACAATTTAATTTTCGGCTTTCCTAACATATTAGAAACTAGTATACTACCATACATAAGAAATGATACAAGTGAATTCGTACATTATTTTTTAATGCGAATGCATTTTCACATTCAAACTCTTGAATATATTTTGAAATGACATCAACAATAACATTATGTCAATAATGATATGATGATAACATCACAGAATAAATAAATAACCTCACCCACTTTATAAATTGGCAATCATTTTACGAACCAGAATTCTTTTGTATCATACACAATATAGGTAATATGATTTACATCGTGGTATTAGGTATGTCAAAATTAGAAATTAACCGGTCCCGCCCACTGCATTAAATGTCTCAAATCATAAAAACAAATAATAATAAAAAATTTATATTCCCATAAATAGCTCAACTCGAAACAAAATATTTTGAAAATGTTATGGTGTATAGGAAATGGTAATATAAACATTCAGTGAAAATTTTCATGTATCTACAGTAATATTTTTAAAGTTACACCAAAAAATCTATTTTGTCAAAGTTCGATTTTGAGTCGAAATTCCAGTTTTATCTTAATTTTTTTTTCGCTTAATTTTGAAAACTACTGAGATTAGTCTGAGAACTTGCACCTTCCGAATGGCACCAACTAGATTTACTTTGCCACTATAAGAGATGGAAGTTGAATTTCGACTACCTATCGCGTACACATATACACAACACAAAAAATTCACACATCATTGGTAAAACAATACATTTATCGTTCCGCCCAGATTCTAAAAGTAAAAAATGTAGAAGATTTCAAATACTCCATAAAGAGCTCAAAAAATAACAAATATATTTTGAAAATTATTTAATGCCTAGAAAATGATTTTATAATAAATATAATATTGTATTATGAATTATAATATAATATTTACATTTTAACCCACCATACAGTATCAACTACTAGCTAGTTAATTTATACCAGAAACCACTCTCAAAAATGAAAAATGAAGCATGAAATTACTGAATTTAAAGGTGAATGTTGTGAAATAAAAAAAAACACATTATAACCAATAAAATAATTTGTATTCTGATATTCATCCCTCAGCTATGCAGAATTAAAAAGGTTATTTATTTGAAAACATACAATATAAAAATAACTGATTTAAAAACTATTTTTGAATTGGTGATATAAAAAAAAATTAAAACTCACCCCGAAGGCCAGAGAGTCTTAAAATTGTGCTAACTAATTAGTAATTAAACACAAAATGCGTTGTCTAAAATTATAATATATAACCTGTTACCTGAGACTAGCCGACCGGTTAAATGTTATGTTATTCCAACAACACCATCGAGTAATGGGTATTTATGTAGGTACATTTATTAGGTCCCTAATTAGCAAGTATACGTAGCTTTAGTTTTAATTTATAGATTAGAGCGATTAGGTAAGGTATAACCATTGATTTTATAATATACAAATTGTGTAAAACAATTTTTGATAAATGCGTCCTCGTATTTTGTTGACATGTACAAGTTGTCTAAAAAAGAAAAAATCACTCGACCTCCGTGTTTTAATGGGTTTACTCAAACCATAAATGGTGTGCTACAGTTTTTTGAAGATGAAAAAAAACATAACATTAGCTTCTTATTCACAAATCGCTTGAATCAAGATGTACTTGAAAATTTGTTTTCAATTTTTCGACAGAAGGGGGGTTACAATAGAAATCCTACGTCAAGAGTTATAAGAACATCGTTTAGAAGCACAGCGATTTATTCGTTGGTTTGTACTTCAAAGGGTACAAATTGTGAACAGAATTTAGACACAGAAGTAGATTATACAATACACATAAATAACAAGGTAAATAACCAACAATCTAGCATTACATGTTCAGATAACAACATAGACTTAAGTGACACAGAATCTTTATCGTCGTCGTCATCTAATGATTCACATAATAATTTAAATAAAGATAAAGAAAATGTAGAAGTAACACTGGAGGACTGCACTGTTGTTTATTTTGCTGGGTATTTAGCACATATTTGCTTAAACAATTTTAATTGTAATAGTTGTAAATTACAGTTAATAACTGACACCGATATTAATAATAAAGATCAATTATTTATAATTAATAAAAATTTTGAAAATATTAAAACAAATGGTCTTAAATCTCCATCAAAAAAACTTGTGGAACTTGTTATTTGTGCGATTGATATATTTGAAGATAAATTTGGCAAAGTTCAACATAAAAAAAATATTAAAAAAATATTTATGACATGGTTTAAACGTCGTAACTTAATAAAACATTGGCTCCATGAAAATAAAGAATGCGCAGACCACAAACTCTTCATTTTAGACAAATTATTGACTTGTAAAATATTTAAGAAATGCAAAGATCATTCAATAACAACAAGACAGTCGAAATTAACTAAGTTAAAAATTGTATCTCATGTATAGTATTATTAATGAAATAAATTATTTAATATTATTATATTAATATCTATATATGATTATTTTTATACTTGTCGTATTGGTTTGGTTTAAAACATTTCATAGTATATTTTATAGTACAGTAATAATTTAATAATTAATATTATAGTAATTGGTGATTTAAATAATATATTTATTATTTATTATTTCATTTCAATATTTTATCAAACGGAAAAAGCCTATCCAAACCGGTTTTATAATAATCTAATCTAAGAAAGCCAACACCGTCGGCCGCCGCGCGTCGTGAATAATAATATTATTTTATCGACTATAAATAACGCTATGCGATCTATCGGATTTTTGCTTTACTATTATTCATGTTTCTAAATCAACAGCCGAATGGCTTATCTGTATATTATAAAATCAATGGTATAACCAATTCTAGCTAATAGCCAATATGTATTACAAATATAAATTATAAGACATTCTATATTTCTATATTTAAACATTTTTACTAGAGCCGTACCTGTGTACATATAATCATAAGGTCTATGCATATAATACAATAATATATTATACTTGGTTTAAATATACCAAGCTAGTATAATTATTAAGCCATGATATTATATAAGAATTATTGCCATGGATCAGTACAACATTTTTTTAAGGTGTTGTGGCATAGGGGTTATAGTTAAGAATTATGACAAAGCACATAGCTATATGACTATAGGTAATAGGTATCTATATATAGGAACATCACATTATATTGATATATTATTTAGTGCCTATGTTTTAATTGAAACTTCAGAAATTTCATATTGGGTCATATTGATTATTACTCTATTGTGCTTAAGTTTATACTCTATCATAAATTCATAACTTATATTCATGAACATCTATTATACAAAACTCAAGTACCTATTTTTAAAGCTTATCAGAAAAGGGACTCGTGCAGGTATTTTCAGGATTATTATAAAAATACGCATTTATGAACAAATATTTTCTTAAAATACAAAAAAATTATCTATCCCTCACAAGTTAAAATGATATTTTACCCCCGGAAATACAACACAATTATTGAGTATAAGTTGTTTTTAATTATGGCTGTAGGCCTGTAGCAGTGTAGAACTGTAGACCGGATGTCTTTTTCGAGCTTACTGTTTTTACCAAAAATATATGTCTCCTAGTATACTCTCACAGTCTCACCTCTTAAATACCTAGATCTTCATTATGACAATATTACTCAGCACTGTTTCAATTAAATATTAATTATTACTTTATTTATACGCAAATTTCATTTTTTATTAAATTTAAATTAAATAGGTATCTACATTCTGGAATGCATTTATTAATATAACAATTAACAATATAATAACCGAATGCATTTATCAAGCATGTGAATGTGAATCCATTAGTTTTTAGAAAATGTATGTTCTACAAATCTAAACCTAATCATTCAATCATAAAATCATTGTATTATTCAGGAGTGACGAATTAAGAAATGACGAGAGAAGAGTGCCTGCAAGGTATGAAGGTAATATGTATAATGTATATTGTATGATTACCAAATAATTGGCAAATATCAATTTAATTTTCGGTTGTTTTCAAGTTGACAACGTAATGTTTGTACCTACTGTAAAACCTTACATAAACGTTTGTGATGTAATTATAGATCATACTTAACTGTTGGTAACGTTTATTGTTTTTCATGTCATTACAAATGTTTTTATCGGAATTTGGAAGTTACTGCAGTTAAACCGCTGTGGCGTGGTTGTATCGGTAGGTATCGTGCCGTGTTCTTACATGCACTGCTGTTGGTCATCAAATAATAGTTATTGTGTTATTATTAATAACGCGTGCATAACCCGTCGTCTATTAATACTAAAATTTATTTATAATAATATATAATATGAGGCCAGATTGATAATATTATTAATATTGTGCAGAAAAAAATTTGGCTCTTAAAATCCTTGAAACGAAGTTTCGGTGTTCACCATATTTCATATTTTCATCCTATCATTGTGCTTTTATTAAAAAATATATATACCTTTTGACACTAATGGAGGTTAACGGAAAAATATCCCAAGAATCGGAAAACAATGAAATCATGCAACAGATGGAATTGATCAGTAACCACGCCGATGGCACGAATGAGATTCGCTTGACAATTCAATCAGACATTGACTCGTTTAATGCTTTGTATTCGGAATGTGCTAAATACACCCGTAAGTCTCGACAATTTATAAAATTAATACATTTCAATGTGTAGGTGCTTTTATTAAATATTTAATACCTATGTTTATACTGAAGAACAAGTGCAATACGCGAAAAGTCAAAGAATGAGCAGCAATTTAGTATTATCTGAAATTGAATGTAAATTAATTCAAGAAAAAGAATTGTACCAAGGACAATTAAAGGCTAAATCGTTAACTCTTAATAATTCTCTTTCTGTTTATATTAACAAACTTCATGAATTAACAAACTTGATCAATCCCGTACAAGTTTATATTATTGATAAGTCATTAATTCAGTGGAAACGTCAACAGCAGTTGGCTGGTAATGGATATAAATGCATGAAGGATATAGATGTTATACAAACTTGGTAGATACTAGTACCTATTTTGTTAAATTTAATTTATTAAATTGATATTTCTTGTTAGGTGTGAGAAATTGTGTGATTTAATATGGATAGCTCGTTCACAAATAAAAGAAGCCGATCGATTCAGAGTGAATTTGAGTCCTTATTTTGAATTACCACAATCATGTGAAATTATTAACACACTGCTCAATATGACTACACAGTATCTTTCATCATTAGTGACAAGGTATAAGAATGTTTATATATTTTATTTTTTTTAAGTTTTAATTGTTTTATAGTTCTTGTTTTTAATTTTTAATTTTTCAGTACTTTTGTTATTATTACACAACCACCTCAAGTATTGAAAACTAATACAAGATTTTTGGCAGAAGTGCGTTTATTAATCGGTGGAAAACTCAATATTCACAAAACATCACCCGTGGTATGAAATTATTTTATCATAACAAAATATAATGTATTTATATGCCCATTTGATGGTGGGAGAATAATCAACCCTTGAAAATCATAATTAGAACAGTCATCATTTAGTAACAAACATTATCACTTATTTGGTGCTAAAGTTTTTTTTATCCTCGAGTATTAGTGACAGCCACAAATACTCGTTATCTTTCATATTCCAAGCAATAAAAAATAAAGATTTCTTTATTATCCATGTTTCAAACATGAATTTTTTGAAAATATTATTATTTAAATCGTGAACTAAAATATACAAACTGGAAACGTTGGCAGGTATTCAAGGTATGCATGTATTTTGTGTGGAAAGGGAAATTGATGAACTACCCTTATCCTAATACATACTGAACTATTATAATTATAATTTTGCTATAGGGATTTGTATAAATCTATAAACATTTATTTATAGGACCATAGATAATAATTAAATATATGTATAGGATTTTGGGAATAAGACAAGTTACCTAAATGTGGCACTGTAGCCTCCCATTTTCTCCTTCTACAGAATGTTCATACCCAATGATATGAAAAGTTATTTCAAACTTGTTCACTATTAAACGTGTTTATTTAGGAAATATTAGTACTAATACTAAATCACCTTTAATGTAGGAAAATTAATTAAATAATTTTGAATTCTTATTGGTTACAGGCTCATCCAAAGTTTTCTTTATTTCAATTAACATTCAGCTGTAATATTTTCACTCCCTGGGGTATCTCCAATAATTTATATAATGATGAGTATGGCTGATCTCTACTTAGTGAATACTACACAGTATACAGTATTTTAATTGCAACCAAAATGATCTTTTATTTTCATTTTCTTATTGAAATTCTTAAGATTTATTCCAAGAGTAAAACAGTTGTTTCTATTCAGTATATAGTCATTATTTGTGATAATATTCATTAAACATAAAATAGAATAACTTTTTACAAATTTAAAAATATATTTTTTGGTTAATCCAACAAAAAGCACTGGGCTTTAGTAAATTAATATTATACAAATGTGTTGTAAGTTTAAAAATAACATTAACTGTACTAGGTTAAAGTATCTATAGTTAATGAATCTCAAGTTAATCAAATAATTGGAAGAAACAAACCATGTGGTGAATCTTGTGGGGAATTATTAAATTGCACTGGAAAAATGGAGTACCACCCAGTCAATAGACATTTTTCTACCAACTTTCGGTAAATTTAAGCTTTGTATCATTTCTTTAAGAATTAAATAAAATAATAATTTTGTATGAATATATAATAGAAGTATGCAACTTAAAAAAATTAAACGTACCGAAAAAAAAGGAACAGAATCTGTTATGGATGAAAAATTTTCAATTTTATTTTCTTCAACATTTTTTATTGGTAATGAACTTCAAATTGAGGTAAGATTTTAATACATTTTTAAGGGCTTGGTATTATTTTTTGAACTAATATAAGAACACATTAGTTAGGTAGTATATTGATATATTAGCTATAACAATGCATATTTATGATCTACAAATACCCATTTTATATTCAAACAAATTTAAAGCATTTTTAGCAAAGTATTTTGTCTCAAATTATAAAATAAAAATATATATTATATTGAAAGTAGTCATATGAATAATGAGAATGTTGAAATCACAATTAATGCCTTCAATTGTTACACATAAAAGAAATATTTAAAAAAATGAATCTGTTGTTTAGACATAAGGTATTTTTATTCAAATAATTTTTTCAGTATATTCGATTCTGAGCAGAGTATTGGTAGTTTCAGTGTTATTTAGTAAAATCCGTAATGACTTTACTTTGTTTATATGTTTATATTACGTTACTGTGATTGAATATTCCCTAGTGACAGAAATGTAATGTTAACTTTTTTTGATTAGTAATACTAATTCCTGAAATAATAGTGCTTTACCTTTTTGAGTATTGAATATTTAAGACATAAAAATAGAAAAAGCTAATAGTATTATGAGGATTCATAATAGTGACCTATTAGTTGAATATAACTTATACCTGGTGACCTATGCACGATGATTATCTATATTATGTATGGGTACCAATAACAGGCAGGTTACATTTTTTATTTTTCTATGTGATTTATAAAAAGTGAATTGCTGAACCTTTTTTTGAATCGAATAAAGTTTTTTATAATTAAATAAATTTTGAGTAAATTTTGGTATATTGCCTTAACAGGTACCTATTCAATATTCATACATTTTTTTTGTACCTATTTTGACATTTTTAAATACAATCCTGTATCATTTTATATTTGTATTACTAATTAATGAATAATAATAAAATAACATAATTTTATGATTTTTAATTTGACTAAAAATATTAAGCGAATACCCAATATGGTAGTTCACGAGTTTCGGTAGGTCACTTACTAAACAAATATGTACCTTAAATATTTTAACTCATCATAATTCAGTTTTCAATGTTATGGATAATATATTTACTTATTCTGTATGAGTAAATTCATGATAGTTAAGGGATTAGAGATATACTTGCATACTGTATACTTCTTGTCATTCTCAATGTATTTACTTACTTTTATTGAAAAGAAAGGTCAATTTATTTGAGTAACGAGTAAAATAACTTCATTATTTTTTATGTCTAAGTAACGATTAAAGTAACATAATAACTTTTTTAAAGTATTTTACCCAAGATCCAACACTGTATTTGTTATATGTATAATGGCTTTTTTGTTTTAATTTTTTAATTTTTTTTCTGTGTAATCACTAGACAGTCCATTGGGGATCAGGTGTAGTAAACAATGTAGACTTCTTTTTATAAAATTTGTAGAAAACTCCAACTATTTATATTCAACTTTGCAGATAATTTTTGGTAGCAAGTGTTACTAGCATAGTAATTACTGCTCTAACCCCTGCCCCCGTCAAAAGTAGAATATTCGGCCGTCCAATGTGTGACCTACAACTGATCATTGACCTATTCTTATCTTTGTGCTACTAACAATGAATTTTCCTACACAAGAAAGAGAAAATAAAATTTTTTTTAAATATTTAAATATTTCTATTATTATCACTAATCAAAATTATACTATTAAATATATATTATAGGTCCATTTTTTTTTTTTGATTAGCATTTAAAGTTCAAATTTTGACAGTATTTATTAAATTGAAAATTGAAAATGATTTTGTAGATAAAATGTTCAATTTTCATACCTAAAGATTGAACATTTAAAACAAGGTTCCGCTTAAGCTGTTTTTTCCGTAACCTAAATGTCTAAAAATTATATAAATACAGTGATTTCTTACAATCATTTCAGTTCAAATTTGGACAAAATTGCAGTTTAACACAAAGAATAACGTTTATCATTTTGTTTTAATTCGGTCCCAAAACAGCCCAATTCTACATAGGTATATTAAATATTTTTCCAGCATCACTGATAATTTAAGAATAATATTAATTAATTCATCTTACCGGCAACCATATCAATAATAAGTAATAACAATATAAAATGTCCTAGATTGATATGCCGTCTCCACTTAGAATCATTTTTCGTATACAATGATATGATATCATTGAATTCAAATTTAATAACATCCCTTATAGCTACCTCCTAGATACCTAACATACAGCAGAGCGGCATCTACTTACCCACTTTTTTATCTTTTATTTTAACTGGGTTATATATTATTTTATTTATTTTCTTAAAATTGTCTTAGGTATGGAATTTGTCATTACCAGTGGTAGTTATTGTACATGGAAATCAAGATCCCCATGCTTGGGCTACTGTGATATGGGATAATGCTTTTGCTAAACTTGGCCGAGTCCCATTTAATGTTCCTGACAAAGTACCTTGGAAAAGTGTGGCAGAAGCTATAAACATGAAATTTTCTGCTGCTACAGGTCGTGGTCTTTCGGAAGATAGCTTAATATTTTTGGCTGAAAAGGCTTTTAGGTTTGTTGAATATACTAATTTAAGTACAATCTACAAAAATAAAACTTTTTTTTTAGAATGCAAAATATGGCTTTCAATAATATGTTAATATCATGGTCACAGTTCTGTAAGGAACCGTTGCCACAGAGAAGTTTCACATTTTGGGAATGGTTTTATTCAGTGATGAAATTAACTAAAGAACATCTAAAAGGTCCTTGGATGGATGGGTAATTCTAAAAGCTAAAAAAAAATATAATTAAATATTTATTGTTAATATACGATAAAAAAAAATGTAGATCTATTATGGGTTTCATAAGAAAGTCTGATGCCGAAAACATGTTAACAAGATATGCAACTGGTACATTTTTATTAAGATTTTCAGATTCAGAATTAGGTGGGCTAACTGTTGCCTGGACTGCATGTACGTTCTATATTGAGTTAATAATAACAAATTTAAGTGTTAATATCTATTAATTCCATTTTTTTTTCAGCCAATGACTATGAAGTTTTTAGTTTACACCCTTTCTCAGCTAAAGATTTATCAATTCGAAACTTGGCAGATAGACTTTTGGACTTGCCATACCTAACCAAGTTATACCCGAATATTGATAAAGACCTAGCATTTGGAAAATATTACACACAATCACCAAGTATTCATAAATTATCTATTTTTAATAAAAAAAAATTTTTTGTTTATATTAGTAATGACTAATGAGTAGTTTTCTTATGTCTTAACTAGTTTTATAATCTCAATTGTATAGAACTTAACAACAATCGTCATTAAGGGTTCGGAAGCTTTTATTTTCTAAGTAGTTTTAGATAGGTAACTGTTCCAATGGTTGTGGTAGCATTTTGCTGTTGTATGAGTTATAATTTATCATATGTAGTGGGGGTGTCTTCATTAATGAACCCGCATTGACTACATTTTTAGTTGTTGCTTTCAATAAATAAAATATTTTGTTTCTGTATGAAATTTGAAAAATGTATACCTAGAAGTAATAAAACATTTTACTACTTTATAAATCAGATTTTAATTCTGTAAAAAATATTTATGCTCATTGGCATTATTTCTAAGTTATCTTGGAAGACAAATTGTATTAACTGTTTGAATATCTTAAAAAAAATACTTATAACAGGATTTCAACACAATTAATTGAAATTAATTCCTTCAATAACCAAGAAAAAAAGTTGATGAATTCTTTAAAAATTGAAATTTTGAAATGTTGGTATTTTTTTCAAACTCTTAGGTCTAAATCAATGTATAACCAATTATATTTCTGTACATTTAAAGAAAGGAAAAAATGTAGTGTTTACTGGCATAAAAAATTTCTTAAAACTGACACTAATTGTGGACTGCCAAAATTTACAAAATGAACTAGTGTTTGGGTCACTGAGAAACTCAACTTGTTAAATAAGCGTCGATTAATCTTTATTCCAAATATCTTTCACCCGTAGTTCGCTCATATTTTATGAATAATTTTCTACACCAATGCTTCCATAGTAAAATATTTTGGGATGTATACTATTCTCTCTTTCATTTGAAAATCACATCAACTTAACCATTAATAGTGAATTTAAGTTCTAGGAATCATTAAACAACAAAAAAAGTTTCAAATCTGCCCATTATGTTTCTGTACTTTGTAATTTTGACTTGTCAGACCTCTCAAGTATGGTGTAGTTATTTGTTAGCCTTTCCTTGCTAAAGACTAACACCACCTCAACCTAGTTTAAATGATTCTTAGCTTATGCTTCTTTCATTCTTAATGCGAAGGTCACTCACCACGACATTTCACATATCCCTGAAGTCCTCCAAATCTAAACTATCCTCATAAAGCTGATCAATAGTTCATCAGTTCCCTTTTATTAAGTCCCTTTGTGTTCCAGATATCCGAAGAGAGTATCTTTTAGAATTTTCTCTTATTCTACACTACCTTGCCTTAACCTCTCTTTAGGAAACTCTTTACCACATGCTCAGAATATATACTTCCTGATACCTGCATTTTTAAGTTATTATTATGCTTACACTATTATAAGATTTAAATTGTATTAGTACTTTTTTTGTAACTGCTGTTTAACGTTTATGTTATATTAAAATAAATAAATTATTGAAAAATTCACTATTTTTTTTTCTTTATAGATATTAGCAAATCTGTTACCAACAACGGATATGTAAAACCATTATTAGTTACACATGTTCCTGGATGGAGTGGATCTGGTACCAATGGACAAGGAATGAATAGCTATCCTAACACTCCCCAGAACCACATGTTTCATGAAAACAGCTTAGGGAATTATAGTACTAAAGAAGCGTCAGTATATAGTGAACCAGACAATAAGTAAGTAATATACTTTAAATTATTGTTTGTTAAATTTTAGCTTGCATCTAAGTAGGTTTGTTTGTATATACATAAGGGGTAATTTGAATTTGCAGTGGTTAATTTTACACTATAAATACAATTTTATTGTTATATTTTTAATTTTCAGTAAATAAACCTTCCAATTTCAATAATTATTTGAACTTGACAAAAAAAAATTAATTTTAAAAAGTATATTCTACTACAAAATATAAGTTCCAGTTTCTATAATATTTATTATTTAAGTAGAGGTTCTGGTTATAGAACTTGTTTTTTTCAAAACAGTTCCAGTTTATGTCTACTATTTATTGACCAATATTTATTTATTCAAAATGTACTTTGACTAGTTTTCCACTAGTCTTATTTTAACACGTTGAACGCCAACGTCGATCGACATGCGGTTGCCTGTAACAGTGTAGCCGCGTGTATCATTAAATTTAAAATCGAAACCAACTGTTCCACGTAATAAACAATACGCAAATGAATAGCTGACCAAAATTTCAAATGTGTTATTAAAGTCACAATAACGAACAGGTTACAGAATGTCAATGACGTGTGGACACCGGCTATGCGCGCTCGCCTAGTTGTGTCAACAACGCATTGACATCAGCCACAGGCGCCCGTTTAGTCGTGTCAACGACGCATTGACATTGGCGTTTAACGTGTTAATATGCTTTAGTAGTATTTTATTTTGGTGTATAATAATATAATACATGACTAAAATGTATTTAGGTAAATTATGTAATTATCAGTAGCGTAGCATGGACGTTTGCTGTGTATGCACAACAATGTACTTGTATATTGAATATAATGTATAGTATTGGTTTATGATTATAGTACCATCTACCAATATATTAAAAATAATTGTTGTTCACAGTGCTGGACTGAACAACCGCCGCCTTTTAGTATAAATATTTTTCTAGTCTAAAAAATGTTATTAAAACATACAATTATAGTTGTTTCCTTGATTACTTAAAATTTTAATAATTTAAAATTAAAATGAACAGCTGTTATAAAAATGCATACATACATTCATATAAAAAACTTATTATAAAAAATATGATATAAAATATAATGATGAAAAATATGGTAGTAAAAAATGCTTAAATAGTTCATTTTTAAATTATATTCTAAATTAAATAATTAGTTCCTAGTACTCATGGGCTTTCTGTGCGATTTTTAAGTCGCAAAATCATCTATTATGGCATCGAAGTCCATTTTGTTCACTAGTTCAGTTTCAATTGTCATTAAACTCAGTGAATTTACTTTATGCCATTCCATACTTGCTCGCAAATAATTTTTTACTAGTTTTAACATAGAAAAAGACCTCTTGGCTGAACAGTTATTTATTGCTATACTTAAAAGCATACGTAGAGTAATATCTATGTTTGGAAAAACTGTATCTAAATTATTACAGAATAAGAGTATTGGTAACTGGATAACTCCAACAATATTTTTTTTATATTTTGAAGATATGCTTGAAAATGAACACGTTCACAAACAAATAATTTTTATAAATTACAGTTATAAAATTCTTGAAGCTTATACGCTTTTTAAGTTATTTCTTCTGGTGAAAGTAATATTAAATTAGTCAATGTCTTAATTGTCAAATGTATTAATATAAACAGCGCATCTCTTTTCAATTTCACTCTTCACACTATCCAGTATGGTAAAATATGTTTCTATTCTTAACTTATCACTTCCAGTTATATGGACTTCATTTTATCTTGTCTTGTCTGCTTGAAGTTTGCATTTTTTAGTCCTTACTTTATAAAGCTTGTACTCTTCACTCTTATTTTTTTTTTTTGCCAAAATTACATACCTATTCAATAAAACATTTATCATTTTGAATGGATGTTTTGAAATTAATTAAAGATTGGTAGAGTTCGACTACTTTTCCCAATCTGTGTTTACTTTTTGAAGCTCTTTACTTGTGCAATTAAAATGCTCCAAAATTGCATTCCAAAGTACACTCATGGAGACTGTTTCAAAACGGTCAAGTTGATGTCTTCAGCCGGCTGCTTTACAACTCATCGTTGCTTTTTCAAAATCATCTTCTTTTATAAATTTTTTTTTAAATTTATAAATAATGCTATAATAACAATGCGATAAATTCTACAATTTTGAAATTGAAAAACAAAATATAAATAATATCACAATCTCGTTGGTCTTAAAAATGTTATAATTAGTTACATTTCTTTTAATTCTAGTTACATATAATACAAATTATTTGCCACCCTTGAGAAATTGCTGCCCTAAGCACTAGCTTATAGTGTTTACTGGGAAATACAACATTGGTTGTTTAGTATCATTGGCGTGCCCAGACCTTGTCTGCTAGGGGAGTCCTTAAAAAAGTGAACCAAAAATTCTTGTACTAATGACTATTAGTATAATTAAATATTTAATTGATAATTTTATAATGCATTTATTTAATTAAATATGCAAATATGAAAATTAATATTATTTAAATGTATCAAAATAGGTAGGTACGTAGTAATAATACATAACTATAATAAAAATAAATAATAACAATAACTTGAAATATCATAATAATACTGTGTGCTACTCGAACTGACTTTTGGTGGACACTTATCTCTTTTTCAATTGTGGAATCATAATTTTGACACATTTGAATGGTTTTATAATAAATATCTGTGAAATTTTCTTCAGTATTTCTCATAGAAACAAGGAATTTGTTTAATGACTCAACAATTTCTACAGTAGTTAATTAGTTAACTTCGGATGACTGTATAAAAGCACATGTTTTTAATATCAAAGAAAGAATAGGATCTAACATCAACATGGCAAAGATAAATTCAAATGTTTTCATCTGATGGAGAATTCTCTTGCCCTTTGGTCGAACATCTGATAGTTTTGTATTATCAATGATATCTTCAATTGCACCTACTATTGAGGAATAATTTTCTTTTACTGCACTAATGGCTTCTGATCGGCAAGTCCACCTTGTGGTAGAAATTGATTTTAAAGTTTTTAACTTTGCGTTTGTTAAGTTGCCAATTTTTTTCAATACTTCATACCGAGTACAGCTGCCTTCAATGAAATTATAAATTAATTGTACTTTACGGAAGAAATCAAAAGTGACTATATTTTGTCTCCCAAAAGAATCTACCAGAACAAAATTTAGACAATGACCGTAACAAGGAACAAAAAATGAACGGTCATTTTTTTTCTTTAAATTTTTCTTACACTCTTCCCGTACTTTCGGACATCGTTGATACTCCATCAAAACAAATTGACACCACATTTTCCCATTTAATTCCATATTCTTGAATGACATCACTCATTTTATCAAACATACTTTGAGCATCAATCGATGATATTCATTTCAAATATAAAAACCCGGCAACTCCTATGCACACGCCTATGTTTAGAATAGTACAAGAACTATATAGTAACTGTACACCACTGTACTCATATATAGCTTAAATTTAAATTTGATATTCAATAACATCTATAATCAGAAGACTATTTTTTATTTTTTAGACAACTACAGTATGTAGTTAATCGTTCATGGATGAACTCTATAGCTTTTAGATGGTCAAGTTATTAATATTTCTTATCAATAAATAGTAAACCAGAATTGTTCGTTTACTTGTTGTGTACTTGTGTTCAGTATTGCATACTCTATAAACCGGCACATATTAATGTATTACCTTGTATTGCACTAAATTTTTGAAAATTGAACTTTAGGAGGAAGGTTCAGCCTCTCATGATCTTGTATACTAAAAATATCCAATGCATACACTATATTATCACTTGTGTTATACCTTTGGTATGTATAATATAAAGCCATGTTCATAATAATAATCTATATTAAATTGAAAATATAAATTTGGAGAAACTACAATAAAATAGCAGTTATTTTTTTTTTTAACCTAACTTGGAGCAAAAACTTGAAACATGTATATGAATATACATCAAACGAGGTGTATTGAATATTATTTAAATTAAATGCACACTTCTTATCAAGCATAATAAAGTTTCAAAATCCATCACTATTTAATCTCAATCACAACTGAAAACGATATGAATGCCATTACATTACGTATTTTGTATATAATCTATCAAGTACATTGTACTTAACTAGCATTGTTAAATTAATTTATATCTTTTTTTATTTGATTGAATCATAAAAACAATTTTTTGTTTGTTTAGTGTGACTGCATTTGGGAATTATCCCTTAGAAATGGAGTTTTGTTCAAGCTTAGATGACATGTCGCAGATAGATGGATCATTTTTTTAAAGTAATTTAAATAGGTAATATACTGTTTTTATAATGTAGGTTTTTGTAACTATTGTTATTCAATATCATAATAATTGAAGTATACACTAAACTGTATGTGCAATATCAAACTTTTATCGTCTTTTCTTCTTATTATTTTTTTTATAACGATATTTTAAATGTTGACCTACATATCATACTCAATAGTTATGTAAATTTAATTTAATTTGAGTACTCATGTAGCTGGAATATCTACTTTATTATTATTTATCGCCATTCGCTTATTATTCATTATTATTTTATCATGGATTAGTTGTTTTAATATTTGTAGATAAAAAAGTTTTTAGATCAAGTTTAGATGGAGTTGTTTCGCTGTTGTTACTTAGTATTATTGTAATTAGTACATTGTATGTTTATGATATGTTTAAATATTATTCCATCAATAAAGTAGAATGTATTTATTTTATGTTTATTGCTTACCTAAGTTATTTATTTATGAACCCATAATTTTAAAACCTACAAAATGTATAATAAGTCATATTGTTGAAGAAAAAAGATAATAGAACATCTTAAATCCAACATAGGTTGGACAAGTTAAAGTAGTCTCACATATTATATGACTGCCATGTAGACTGATGGAAATATAATTAGTGTAAATCTGTAAACTGATGGTATGTATAGATAAATGTAGTTATATACTATTACATTGCGAAAGCCCATACATAATTAATCAATCAATTTAATATAATATTTCGAGGTAGAAGTTTTTAAACAAGACTCAAGGTAATAAAGAACCCACCTTCCGCGTTTTTTAATTTCAAAGACGGTTTAACTACATATTTTAAAAGTAAGTAACTGAAAACAGTAGGTTGTTATTTTGAAATAAAAATAGTAATATTATTTATATTGCGCACCAAAAATCGTCATAGAAATTCCAATTCCTCATAGCACGACGATCGGGGAGTAGGTATATAGTTATATTGAAACTATTATTATTATTATTTAATATAATGACGGGCGAGAAAATAAACTAATATTCTGACGTAAAGTATCCCTCGAATCGGTGAATTCAATTTGTGAAAATACGCTGTGACTAAATTATATGGAGTAGGAACATACTACATACGAATGATGCGAAATAAACCGATATAACCAGTTTTGTTTCTGTGTATTGTACACAAAAACAAAAACCAGTAACGGGGGAATACTTGCAATATTATAGGGTACCAGGTACCTACGTATTGGCATAAGTGTATAACCTACACTACATTTTATAAACAACAACTCGAGCTCATAGGTAGGTACATATAATATTATGTTCTTTAACCATATACGATTGGCACGATATCTACTTATAGTTTATAATATAACATAATATGAGAGTAGTGGGTGCCTCCTATAATATACAGGTATAAAATATTTTGGTTTGTCCTTCGGAGTCCGGTCGGCTATAATCGCGAAAATATTATGTACCTACCTGTACAGGCTACGACGTACCAAACCACAACAAACATGCTGCAGTTTAATATATCGTATACCTAGCACGCCACGCTACACGCGAGACCAAACGTTTTACGCTCGTCCCGGTTAGCCGTGATAACTAATTATTGTTATTTCATATTATATTAAAATTAATAATAATTATTGTCTGTTATCAATGCATCGATTTATAATTAGACGTTTCGCCTCGAAATAATCACAATATTTTAACAATAGGTAGATTCGCGTTCATCACTTTTCTTCATGTCCTCCGTTTGTTTCTTCGTTTTTCTTTTACCGCAGTATAAGGTACGTACGATATAATATTTCTATTATTTAGATTTGTTTTTGTCTCATTAATCGTCGCCATATACATATTACGATATGTATATTAAGATAGTATTGCAATCTTTCGTCGTCTGTATTATCACATAATTTAATAATTATAATATTATACATTTTAATAAACAGTATAATAATGCATTATATTTTGCAGTAGTGATTTCGTCGTCATCGAATAGAACCATGAAGGCGACGAATTCCTGGTTAACACTATATGTATGCTTCGTTTTGGGTACGACAGGTACGTAATTATGTATATATTAGTATTGGGATTTAACAACAACACGATAAAAGAAAACAATTTACCTATAGTAATTATACCAACCACTGAGCGTCCTAGTAACTTCAATGGATATTATCTTTATATAAATAACTATATAGCTGTAATATCCAGCGTTGCCCGGGGATGAATTCAATATGAATACTTGAGTAGACAATCCACTTGTGACAGACAACTAATATCAAAATAACTTTTTTTGATTACTTGAACTAATTGCGAGCAGGAATAGAATAATAAGCGGTTAAAATCTTAATATTATTGATATTAAGGGTAACCTATCCTGAAATCACTAGTCCAATTTATTGTCTATAAAGTATAAACCTTCGATCCTATAATAAGCGCAATTCGCTCTTTTTTAAATGTATAATAGCTGTTACCAGTTGCTTCTAATCTAATATTCTTAAGACCCGTTTGCAGGGATCTTAAAAAATACGAGTGTACAATTTGGTGCCAATTGTTCAACGATTGTGTATTTGCATATTACGCGTAACTTACCCAATTTGGTATAAGTAACTCGTTGCCACCACTTACCAGACTATTAATATCTGTATTATAGCTGAATTTCTACTATAATATCTCCACATCTATCGTTTGTGTTTTGCTTTAGTTGAAAGTATTTTTTTAAATTATTTTTTGTCAAAATAGGTCGAGTATTTTTTCAGTATATAAACCTCAACCATACACTTATCTCTTATAATATATAGAGTGATTCACCAAGCATGCACATTGCACACTCCCTTTTTTTCTTCAATAATGCAGTTACTCAAAATCTGATTTTTTAAAATTGTTAAATATCCATTAAGATTTAAGACTACTACTTAGGAGTTTCCTGTGGAGATTCAAACTTCTGTTTTTCAAATGAAAACACCCCTATATTTAACTATAAATTACAATATGAATTTTTTGACGTATCGAAATTAAAATTCGTACTTGTAGTTTTTCAGTTCTAAGAATAAAAGGTCTATAGTACTAAGTTTATAAAATATGGGGGCTATAGTAATTTGAAAATTGTTGTCATTAATATTAATTTTTTGTTATAATTTATTAATCCATCGATATAAAAATTTTGTAAAAATGGCCAAGTATATACTAGATCCAATTGCACGTATATTTTATATTTACGTAAAAACAGTTTTAAGAACTATTATCCTCAATACAGACATTTTAATAACTAAGAAATGGCTCATTCGAATTTTGAATGTGGTACATCAACATTTTCAAAAAAAATGATCCACTAATTAATTTACCGCAAGAGAGAGGACTTCTCGTTTGAAAAACAGAAGTTTGGATCACCACAGGACACTCCTCAAGTAGGTAGTACAACAAAATCCAAGAATTTGAAAATAGTATATTTAAAAATTTTAAAAATCAGATTTTGAATAACTGTATTATTGAAGAAGAAAAAGGGGGGAGAGCATGCTTGGTGAATCATCTTGTATATAATAGCTATTGTAGTTATTCAATTATATATCTATATAAAATAGCTTTATTAACCTAAATTACGAAATATAATACAATTGGACATGACCCTATGGTTAACTCAAAGTTAAATGGACCGGCCAAAAAATTCGAGTTGTTCAAGGATATACAATAATAGGAGATTCTAGGGACTGTGAAAAAGTTCGAGGTATCTACGATTTTATTGTTAAAAAGGTTCGATTGTACAACACAGAAAATTATATACAACCATAATAACTATTTTATCATCTGTAACTTATTGCAACTATTTAAATAATATATAAGATTGATTAGATATAGACAGTCGGCTAATACAGATATTATTAGTCGGGTTATAGATAAATAGCGCATATGGAAATCTAGTTTTTGACTAAATGGCCCAACATTTTACACACACATTATTTGGGATGCCGGATGGGTAATAAGAGTATAGAATAGAAGCCACGGGTAACAAAAATTATATATTTAAGTCCTGAGAAGATATTATACCGACGTTTGTTGTCTTCGTCTAACAAATGCGTAACATAGCAAATTTTACGCTCATCAAATGCCTCGTTTAAAATTTAAAGTTAAGATTATTATCTAGGGCATCTCATATGTTTTTATTATATTTTTATTTTAAAGCGAGTTATCAGTATTTTAAGATGTACAAACAATTTATAATTTTTTAATACTTATAACTCGCTTTAAAATTAATATATAATAAAAACTTGTGTATAAATATAATGATAAAAGTGTATTTCTGAGGCTTATAGAACCAAAAAATACTCAACCGATTTTGACGATTCAAGGAAGGTTTGGATAATAATTGATTGGACCAGTTATTTTAAGGGAGCTTAATCGCTATTAATATCATAACCGAATGTTAGTTTATTTTAGCTAGCAAATGGTTCACGAAAAAAAAAAGTTGCTTTTTACTATTCACCGTAGGTGGATGGCTCATCTTTGCTACATTTATCCCCCGGCAATGAGCGGGGAATCCAGCTAGTATAATTGTATAATATATTATAGACTCAAATGCATGTAAAAAAATATAAGCAATGATCAATATCCAAATTTCAAATATTATCTTCTATAATCTAGATAGTGATATACTGATATAGTAATATTTGTTGTGGACATAACATTTATTATTATACATTCTCTACTATAAATTGTTCACCTGACTCCTGCACATTTTTTGTCAAGTAAAATTATAATTATAAAACTTGTTTTTAAATATGTAATAAGTACTTTGAATTTTGATCGAATTTAATTTTAATTCATAATATAATTTGTTATATTATTGAATACCTATTCTATAATTGAATACCTACATATAGTAGGTACATAACACAAAATTATAATATTTTTTTAATATTTAATTTTTTCTTCAATATAATTTCATGTACTTCTACCACATACGAGAAATATGTGTTTCATAAAAATATTCCGATGATAATTCAAACAAAATTCGACGATTTAATAGTTAAATTATTTAGAATTATAAACTCTAATATTTAGATATTTATTCTAAATTATAACTGGATTGTACTTCCTAATGATTAGCTATCAGTTAAAACCATTTTATATCTCATGTAAAAAATTGTGGGTACTTGTTTGATCAATGAGGTGAATTTGTGTATAACATGGAGTTATTTATCTCACCTCCTATACATTTCATTACCATTTTAATAATTATTTGTGCGGGATCACACCTATATAACTGTTATGGGATATATAACATATGTATGTCATTATTAAGATACGAATTTTTTTATTTTAGGAACGGGCATACTATGTAATCCATTAAATGAAAAACGTCAAACCGTTTCATGTTCAGTGTTGGTAACTATATTCTGTCTTAACAAAATACCTACCTAAGTACTAATAATCATCACTAGTGGCGTATATACAATTTAATTTCCGGAGGAGGGGTATAATAATCCCGAGTGGTATTTTAGACAGTTTAATTAATAATATTAATATTCTTCACATACATACTTTTATGAAGGGGGGAGGGGGGATTATCTGAAGTGGGGCTCGGCTATTTATGCAGCCCGTTAAAATTAATTTGTAATTTTGACATTTTAATAGGAACAGGTACTTATTCTATATTGAATAGGTTCCTAATATTTTATCATATAAATGTATATTACTATAATTATAATATATTAAGTTTTTTTTTTTTATTATAAAAGCCACTACTCCACTAGTATAAACTATGATATATATATATATTAAGTTATTTTGTTATTTTAAGCTGTGAGTTAACCATTGATTACATATAAATCGTGTATGGGATACCCGTATCGCTTGTAATGGGTTCTATTTTATTGGAAGTTTATTATTGGGGTTTATAAATAGTTTAAAACAGATTATTTTGTTCTTAAATCCCACATCTCGCTCCCCTCATACTTAGTCAATCTTATTAAAGCCAAATGTCATGCTCAATCCTTGTGGCAACGATTGAAATACCCTGAACACAAAACTGCCTACAATCATCTATCAAACAATCTCAACTCTCAATTGGCGAAATATAGATCTGAACAATTTAGTCTATATTTAAGTACTCTGTCTCCTAATAATGGCTCCCTCTGGAAAATGACAAAAAAGCTAACAAATCAACGCGAAAATATCCCTCCTCTCAAACGTCCCGACAAATCATTAGCTATCACTGATTTAGAGAAAGCCAATCGCTTTGGAGCCCGCTTATTTTCAACTTTCTCTCCTCATCCAGAAGTAATCTCTATGCCAGACAACACTGACCTAGTAAACTCATTCTTGTCTTCTCCCTTACCTATGTCCCTTCCTGCCAAACCGATTTCTCCATCCGAAATCGTAACAGTCATTCAAAAGCTTCGGCCTAACAAAGCTCCTGGTCATGATCAAATCACAAATAAAATAGCAAAGAATTTATCTAAAAAGTCAATTATATATATAATTCTATGCTACGCTTGTCGTACTTCCCCTCAACCTGGAAGCATTCAGTTATTATCATGATATCAAAACCAAACAAGCCTAAACATCTCACAAGTTCTTATCGCCCAATCAGCTTACCACCTACATTTGCAAAACTTTTCGAAAAACTAATTTTACATAGAATCTCGTCACTAATTGACCAACAAAATATTTTATCTAAATTTCAGTTTGGATTTCGTCGAAAACATAATACAACTCAACAAATCCACAGAATCGTAGATAAAATTTCATCCTCTTTCGATTCAAAACAATTTTGTCCTGCAGTATTTCTCGATATATCACAGGCCTTTGATCGCGTTTGGCATGACGGACTTCTTTTCAAACTTAAGCACTTTCTCCCTTCACCTTACTTTCTTTTAATTAAATCCTATCTTGATAACCGGTCTTTTTCAGTACGCCACAAAAACGAATTTTCTACTATCCAAAAAATTAAGGCAGGGGTTCCTCAGGGTAGTGATCTCTCTCCTTTACTTTATAATATCTATACCTCTGATATGCCCACTTCAAATCAAACTCTCCTCGCCACATTTGCTGACGACACAGCAATATTTGCTTCAAATAATGTCTCAGACACCGCTTCACACCACTTACAATTGCACTTAAATTTAATCGAGTCTTGGGCAAAAAACTGGAAAATTAAAATTAATGACAATAAATCCGCAGTGGTTAACTTTTCCCTTAAGAAAAAAGAATGCCCCTCACTCAAATTTAACAACAAACCAATTCCACTACATCAATCAACTAAATACCTAGGTATCACTCTAGACAAAAGGCTAACTTGGGCAAATCATACAAAAAATAAACGTAAACAACTCAACTCCCGCCTCCATTTACTCCGACCTCTTCTAAAATCGAAAATAAATCTTAAAAATAATTAGATAAAATATTAATTTAAAAATCCATCATAAGACCAATATGGACCTATGGTATTCAAATATGGGCCCCAGCGAAACCAGCTAACATCCGCCCCATTCAAGCCTTTCAATCCATCTCATTAAGACTTAACCGATGCTCCGTGGTATATCACAAATTCAGCTCTCCATAATGACTTAAAACTTCCAACAGTAAATGAACTTGCTAAAAGCTACTATAAAAAATTCCATTCCAAATTAATTTACCATTCTAACCCCTTTATCAACAACATGTCTTCTCTCACATTACCTCTTAATATTCCTCGACGATTAAAAAGAAATTGGGCTAGAGACCTTCTAAACTAAATCTAAAATTAAAAATAAAATAATAAAATAAAATTGCAATGCCCGAACTCAAATTTTCTGAGGTTCTGTCACTGGACAGTCTCCTTTTCATGTGCTACATGTCTTCTTTAATCATTATCATCATTGTTACTTATTGTTTTTGTGTGTAAGCAGATTGTAATATTTTATTAAATAAAAAAAAAATATATCCAAATATATTATTATACATTGCAAGTTATGTTTATAGAAACATGTTCAGCTGTTCAAATCAGGAGTGCATTGATCCTTCATCAATTTGCGATGGAATCGCAGATTGTTCAGATAAGTCAGACGAGACCCAAAGTTTGTGTGCTCCACTGTTTAAGACGTATGTAAATAAGTTAATAAGTTTAAAGGCATTAATAAAAAACATAATATAGAATGTTCTTATTTTATGTTTATAATTTATGTGTAAATATAGATGTCCGGGATCTGCGTTTCGATGTAATTACGGTGCATGTGTAAGTAAAAATGCAAAATGTAATGGTAAAAACGACTGTGTCGACGGATCAGATGAACAATTACCAGAATGTAAAAAACTAGGTCTGAGTATTCCATCAAGCCCTCCAAGACCCCAACAAACTCATGTAACCAGTCAGGCTAAATGCATGTAAGTAATTGATTTAAAATTTAAAATTTTTTGATTAGAATTTAGAACAAATTTATTTATTTAATGATTTGCTTTTTATTACATAATATAATATTTATTACTATAATATTATATAAAACAGCCATCAGAAATCGAACTCAAACTTATAGGTTTAACTCGAAACATTTTTAGCTCTACGAATCTATATAAATCGCTAGCAACTTTTTTTTTAGTTTCAATGTAATTTTACTCTTTTAGTCATTATTTATCTCGAACATGAACATTATAGATTCGAATATAAACTCAAATTAGTCAAATTATATTAACTGTAAATTCATATTTAACTAATCAGAAATGAATGGCTCTCAATTTTACTTTTTACATAATATATTAATATAAATTTTATTGCCAGCCAATTGTATTATTGTGCTACAGTAGGTTAGTGCGTTAATCAACATCGGTGACATCTTTAGGTGTGTGGCGTTAGTAGAGATTTGCATTTTCATCTTTTTTTATGTTAAAATGTAAATGTACAACTTTAACTTTTGGTAAAAAAGTAAATGCTATATGATTTTAAAAGAAAAATATATTGCAAATGAACTTGGTATTCTAAATTCAATATTTATCGATCCCATGAAAATAATTTAATTGTAACCATGTTTGTATGTTTTATTTTCAAGCATATATTAAATAATAAAAATAAATATTTATCTGAATATTAGATATTTGATTTAGCAATATTTGTTGGTAAACGACTTATATACTTCATTATAATATTATAATATACACGAGTTTCATGGAAACCCATAAAATAAGTTTGGATTTTACGCATCATCAGAATATATTTAATATTAAGTATATTTTACTAATATTGCATCATAATGTAACTACGTATTAATTTGTGAAAATAAAAAAAAATAATCTATTTATTATTTAGTGCTCGAGAAGAGTACCGCTGTACATCTGGCCAATGCATAGATGTAACATCCATTTGTGATGGAACTTCAGATTGCAATGATGGATCTGACGAAACATCGGAATTGTGTAAATCAAGGGTGTACGTATTGATTGAAATTTAAAAAAAATTACAACACGCATACGTCATGTACCTATGCCATGTACTCACCTGCAAATCGCTATTATATTAATATTTAATGTTAAAGATGTCCAATGAGTACGTTCACGTGCAGCTATGGTGCCTGTATTAGTAAACAAAGAAAATGCGACGGTTCGCAGCACTGTGCTGACGGTTCTGATGAAGCAGGCTGCGGTTCCAACGGAGACCGCAAACCTAACCCAACTTCACAAATCACGCAGAGACCGACCACCACCTCAGCACCGCAGTATCAAACTAGCAGACCAACAACGCAGAGACCATCATCGCAGACCAATAATATAAAGTATACATTTTTTAAAAGATATTAATACACATCATTTAATAGGCTTAACAAATATTATTGGTAAAAACGTTTAAAACGCTTTGACATGGATTTGTTTAGTTATAAGTGTTAAGAGCGCCACTGTTAGTAGTATATTATGGTAAATAATTTAATATTAAAACGTTTCTATCTCTGGAACTGTGTATCTGCATTGGTGAATACGGAGGTACCAGGAGGCGCTTAACACCTCCAGATTATTTTGAGTTAAAAATACTGCTTAAAGTGTAATTTTGCGTTTTTAAGAATGAGTTTAGTTCAGTTAGTATTGGTAATGCACTAATGCCACAGACATATTTTTCCTGTTAGGAAAATATGTTTAGTATATTTAAATTGAATTCAATAAATAAAAACAAAAATTATGAAAGTAGTGAAAATGTGAATGACCTTGATGGCACCTTGTTCATCGCAGAATGTAATAGTCGTTGTATTAATTGGTTACCTATAATATATCGTCAAAAAAGATTTTTATTGAAAATCAGGTTCACTACTTCGATTTTTTTTAACGTAGTAATTTATAATTTTATTTGAAATGCAATTTATGCCTGGTGTGTATAACCGTATAGCTGTATAGTGGGCGAGAGGGACAAAGTCCCTCCCCTCACGGGTCATTTTGGGGTAAAACATTTTAGCACTCACAAGTCTAAGACTGAAAGTGCGTCCATGTGTATCTGAACATCGTGAGAGGATTTAGATGTTAGACAAGACACCTGTAGTTAAACGTTAATTAACATAAATTGAAATAAAATATTAATAATATAAATTATTTTACTTTACTGGTTAACTGGTAGCAATATACACGTAGCAAGCGACGGAACTGGATTAAGTATATCTATCAGGCCGAACGATTATTATTACAAATTTTCTTAATTTATTATAATAGTTATATCCAATATATATAGGGGACTCCGTGGTAATGTGGTACGAATCTAAGATGACGTGTCTGGCATGATATTCTTATTAATGAAATATAAATACAGTACCTAATGGTGTTTAATATTATATTAGTATCGGTTGACAGAGCTTAGCTTGGGTCCAGTTTCATTCAAATTATAAATACTAAATAGTATGTATTTGTTTATGTTAAAACACTCAAAACTTATGTTTTTTGTTCACAACATACCGTACTTCGCGTCCGTAATTAATTAACGAAATAATTGTAGTGATTCAATTTTTATTTTCTATTTATACATTTTTTTTGCTACATGCACAATTATTTGTCTGTTAAAGCGATTCCTCACTATCGGTTTTTGGAGCAAAATAGACCTACGCGTTTCAATGTAATGACTTGAGTTTTACTCTAATAATAGTTCTGAAAACTGATTTGAATTTAATATAAAGTCTATTTTGAATCTTTCGAGTAAGAATACTAAAAAAAATTTAAAACTATTTTCTCTATTAAAATTCGTAAAAATAGGAAATTATTTTCTAAATTTCAAGTGAGATATTTTCATTTTAAGAATATTAAAATTAGATACAAAAAACATTTAATGATATATTATTATATTATACATCTTAAGTCTATTTTAGTTATTGTTAAATTATAATTCTTTAAAGGTCATGCATTATACCATATACCGAGGGCACAGTGTATTCTTTATTCCAAACTGATTCAGAACAAAATCCTTCTTTATCACCTGGGACATTTGTTGATCCGAATACCGCAGTGGAAGAGAACTGCGAAGAAGGATATTATAAAACTACTTCTAATAGAATTATAATTTGTTCAGGAAATGGAAAATGGAAACCAAAGGTCGATAAATTATGTTTGAGTAAGTATGTATTATTATATATTGTATGTATAGACATCATTATTTAGACCACATGTAGTATAATGAAGTAGGATAGTAAGTATTCTTTGATACTTGCATTTTTTTTCACTGTATAATATTATATTATTATAAAAGTACTCATTTCATAGTTGATTTATGTTTCAAGAAAGATACTAATTTTTAAATTGATGTATGTTTTAAGAAAGATGTCCATCTGTGTTTTCGGACAGTTTAGATATCGAATGTGTATTCAATGGTAAAAAAGAAGATTGTTCAAACCCATCAATACCAGGCACTGTATTAACACCAAAATGTAAAGTCACACACACTGTACCAAATGGACAAATAGAGACTCCAATTAAATTACGTTGTCAACAAGATGGAAAATGGAGTGATCGACTTTATACTTGTATCCCATGTAAATATATTTTTAAGTATTATTGTAATTCGTTTAATTCGACAAATGCTGTAGCATTTTTAGGATGGTATTTAAGTTTAACTTTTTATATTATCTTAAATTTATTTATTGTCTTCATTTATGAGATTATGGAGCGATATATTTTTGATTTCAGATTTTGAGTGGTTCAATGAATGTATTGATTTTATATGTATGTGTTTTTTTGTTGTGAATTGTTTTTTTGTGTCTATGTACACGATAGGTAGTCAAATAATGTTTCGATTTTCAACTTCAGTTTCTTTTAGTTGTAACGATTAGCTGGGTCAAAAATCTTGAAAATATAATACAAGGTTCCTGATAAGTGGTTATATTCATAGTTTAAAAATTATAAATATACATATTTGAGATTTTTTATAAGCATTTGAAGTTCAAACTATGATAAAATTCATCAAAACAAAAACACAAAAATTGCGAAAATTGAAAAAAAATGTTGTAGTTAAAAACTTATAAAATATTCAATTTTTATAGATTTGAGTTGACAATTTTAAAAAAGGTTTCGCACAAATAAATCATATAGTAACCAAAAAATAAAAAAAAATAAATACATATTTTTTGTCATAGATATTTTTAGTTTTGGATGGAATTAGATATTTGATGGAAAAAACAATTTTATAAGTTGTAATTAAAAAAATATATTCATGGGTTTTTGAAAGTTTTACAGTATTTTATTATACTTAATACATACAATGTAATTTTCAAACTCAATGTTTTGGTAAAAATTAATCAAACCTACTGTACCTATCACTCGTAATAAAAATAATAAAATAAATTACTTTAAAAGCATTAATATCATAAAATATATTTAGCAATTTAGGCTGACAGACTGTCTTTGCTCATTATCGTTGTTCGTATGCAACGATTTATCAAATTCAAATTTAAAACTTACATTACAATGACCCACTTGACATCTATCGTACAGCTTAGTGGTACCCACTTGCCCCGCCTTTTTAAGTATGAAGACAATATTGTAAACACGTTCTACAATTTTTGAGGGCGCTTAAAAAGTGCAAAATGTCCTATTCACTAGATATTTTGACATTCATTCCTTCTACATTACAACATTATTGAACGCATTTATCATTATAGTATTATATTCATGTTAACACATCTAAAAGATTGGGTTTTAAGACATTCCATTCTTAAACTAATGTTTTCAAATACCGTTTTAGATTGTGGCCGACCATATACTCCAAACCAAGCATTGATTCTAGATGGTGTTGAAGCTAAATATGGATCAGCGCCTTGGAATGTTGGAGTATATCGAAAAACTAACAAAAATAGTTTTAGCTTGATATGTGGAGGATCACTGATTGCTACAAATTTAGTTGTATCTGGTAAAATAATTTAACTAAATAACTTTGTGCAGTGTATGGGTACTAAGTTCAAAATCACAAACAATTTATTTTTAGCGGCTCATTGTTTTTGGCAAGAAGGGTTGACGAGTAGAATATTATTAAACGATGGTACGTATAAAGTTGGCGTTGGAAAGTATAAGAGTGACATTACAGTTAAGGACAATGAATTTACCCAGATTGTCGATGCAAGTAACAAACCGTTTAAAAAAAAAGAAAGCTTTGTTTAATTCAATAAATATTTTGTTAACAATAATTAGGTGGGATTGATTTACTTGAGAGAAGGTTATTATGGTTCTTCCGGATATCATGCTGAAGATCTAGCCATTATTGTGTTATCAAGCAAAGTTACACTAAGCAATGTAGTGTTGCCTGTTTGTGTGGACTGGTCTAAGAAATATTCTGTTTTAAATGGATCTATTGGAAAAGTAAATTTATTTAGTATTATTATTATATGTCTACTTAAATATTACGATGCATTAATAGGTAGGTAAATCCCTCGATTACGACAACTATAAATAACAGAAGTTCATATTGCTGCAGAAAGCTCACAGACCTACCTCAGGACACTCCTTAAATACTTTTTAATATCTAACTATATCTAAAACTATGGATTTTAACTAAATTGAAAATTTAAATTAAAAAATGATTAAATTAATTATTTATTATTTGGATAAAGGGAAATTATGGATGAGTAATGACCAAGTATGATGGCCAATATGCTGTCGAAAAAGTAATGTGATTGACAAATGTACTTAGAATGTGATTTGGTCCTTTTAAGTAATCGTAATCGAGTTTTTACTCCATAATACCTAATCTAACTGAAAAACAAATGCGAAATACCTATAAACACGTATTTATGTGGTTTGGTATATTAAAATTGTATAATTTAATCACACAAACATTGTTAACTTTGTATTACCTATGTTAATTTTATTATTTTAGGTCGTCGGCTGGGGGAAAACAGAAAAAATGGTAGAAAGTGCTATTTTATTAGAAGCTAATATACCGTACATCGACCATCAGACTTGTCGGAGTATGTACCAAAACGGATTTCAAAACTTCGTTTCTGTTGATAAATTCTGCGCCGGTACTAAAAGTGGTAAGTATAATAAAAGTTTAAAATGAGTACATAAAGATTGTTAATTACTAAAGACCACATAGAAAGCATGATAATATTATGCTTACTTTTTGTAAAATATTTATGTACGTTATAAACCATGGTTTCATAATTCCTTGAAAATACTATCATTTATCAAACTATAAAAATATTCAACATTTCGCTAAAATCAATCGAATTTATCAACATTATAAAATACATAAAAATAATTATAATGCATAAACATAGAATGTTTTGCTTTTATAGTTATTATTACTACTGCAGTTCTTGCTGTAAATAAGACAGCAGGATAATATTACGCTATCATGTAATGTATCATAATAATATTTGTTTTTGTAAAATATGTAGTCTATAAGACGTTATCTTGCATACTTTTACCGATATTTAATAGGTATTAGTTAATATTTTTTTAGAATATATTAGCACCAATATTGTTATGTTTTTTTTTATTGATCAAAAATAAATATCGGAAACAAAGCCCATTTGTTAATAGCATATTTTACTTTATGATATTATGAATAACAAGTATAAGACAGCATTTTTTTTAAATTTAGTTTTACAAATTAGTATTATTACTGTTAGTATTATTCTTTTTTTGTTTCTACTCACATTAGTATTAATAATAATTAAAACCTTAAATTTTAGGACAAGGAGTTCATCAAGGTGATAGTGGTGCCGGATTTACCTTTGAACATAGCTCTTTACATTTTTTAACTGGAGTTGTGAGTGTAAAGGATGCTACCACAAATGATTCGATAGCAGTGTTTACAGACGTCAGTCGCCACGTTTCGTGGATTCATGAAATTTATACTAATTATACCTATGCAAGTGACAGTTTTTCTAGATCTGTTAGATAGTGCAATAAAAATAACTAAGACGTATATTTTGCCATCATTATTTTAATATTGAACTCAGCATTTATAAATATTTTTTACCTGTGTTATATTTTAACTTTTTATACATTTTGAATGATTGTATCACAAACAAAAAGGGATGATATATTATACAATTATTGAATTTATTAAATTATGAGATGATCTTTTGAGTCAATAACTAAATATTGATTTATAATACGTAATATATACAATATTTTTCATGTTTGGTCATTAGTAATAAATTATTTTGCATTTCATAAAACAGAAAATTATTTTTTATTACCTATATGTAAATATATAAAATTATAATTTTTCAAGAAAGCCTTGAAATCTATCTTGGATTGACTCTCCGGTTCTCAACTCCTAGAGCTTTTAAATTTTCTTCAACTACGTAAATAATCTATACCTTTTCCTTAATCTTTCTCTAGGTCGTTTGTCCTGTGGTTTCCATTGCAATGCTGCTCCAACTGTTTCGTTCTCTTCTCTTCTATTTTTATTATGTAGCCAACCATAGTATTCTTTGGTCCTTAATAAAGATGGTTAGTGGTGTTCGTTTTAACATATAGTTTAGCTCTCTGTTATATTTCCTTCACCAGATCGATAATATTTCCACATATTTTCCTCCGTACCCTGTTTTCGAGAGACCTCAAATGTCTTGGTTGTCGTCCAAGTTTCTCAACCATACGTGAGAGTCAGTATTATGATTGCCACAAGACTGCACCTAACGGTAAAAATATAAGTGGTTACCTTAATCTACAAGACAGATGATGACGAACAGCCTTGGTCACGAAACTCCATCTTCCACCCTATCTAAACGACCAGATATGTCTCATTAATAATTATAGTGACACCGTGACTGATGACTGTAGTACACAGTATCAATAAACAGATCCATGTACAGGACTAGTTACTTTTTTCTTTTAATAATGCTGCAGCCTGCAGCTGCACCAATTTGTTAAGTTCACTAATATGTCGACTGTTGAAATATCAAATTACAGTCTCAAGTCTGCAACAATAGTATTGATAAACATATTATTTGCATACCTAATTATAAAAAATCATACTATAAGAACGATAAATAAATAAATCAAAATTGTATGAAGTAATTAATCATTATTATTATACTGGTATAAGCAGACTATACCTTATATTCAGATGAGGTACTTCAGTATTTGTAAATTGTTGGTGCCTATAATTATGTATCCAGTAATATGTTTCTATTACGTATGTTGCTTACTGTCATAAAATTGTGTGTGATTAACTACTTATTTTTAATAAGTAGGTAGAATATACATAATAATATTTAATACCTGTGCCTTCACACGAGTTTTTTTAGTGAGATCTGAGAGAAAGACATCTCAAGAAGGATTTCTCGATCTAAAAGGTATCTAATCTTAAAGATTTATTGGCTCATGAAAAAACGAATATTTTTTGTATATATGTTGTTGCCATTTTTTACTGAAAATAAAAATAGTTATTATTATTGCATATAATTTTGAACCTGTATTTTATATTTAGTCAAAACAACCCAAATTACTGTGTTAAAAATCTATTTAGTTTACATTTAACGGGGCTTAAGAAGTGGCAAATCCATTGACATTTAATTTATCACGGGCAACGCCATGCAAGATCAGCTAATAATTTAAAAGTTGAATTAAATTTGACCTTTACTCGTATTTTTCATTATGTATTGCATAGCTTGATAACAAAATAAACCATATGTTATCTTATAAAAAAACTTGTATATCAAATAATATACCATTTTAATTTCACAAAAAGTTATACGGATAAATATATATATAATTCAAAATAAGAGATTCCATTTCATGAAATTAATAAGGTAAGTATAATATGTAAATTTCATGAAACTTAATTTGGCTTACACAGTATTATCGTAGTTCATGAAATGGATAAGTATTCATTTCATGAAACTTGAAAGATACGGTTACACTTAGAGTACCTATGTGACATATATACCTACTACCTTTATATACATAGTATTACTATGCACATAGTTATACTTATAGTGCACATTCGAATAAAGACGTATATAAGACGTATATAACACGTTGATATGAATTCCAACTATACCCACGACAAAAGTTATCTATGAAAACAGACACAAAAGATATATAAAAATTACAAATACCTAATAAGGTTTTGATAATTATAATTATAAATAACCATATTTCAGTTAGTTATCAAGACTTTTGAAATTCTTGACTTATTTTTTTTACAATGCTAGTTATTGTTTCTAGACTGCTGAATTTCAGTTGCTGAACAATAATTTTCAAGCTAAGATTAATAAAGACATATAAATAATTACCTTTTTGAGAAACATGCGTGGGTAGAACACATGGAAGAGGAAACGAACCAAAACTCTTGAAATTGAGAAGATAATTGCCAATTGATAATTTTCCCAGAGCAAAATTCAGAAAAAAATGTTCTTCAAAGTTAAAATACGTATAGATGAACCAAATATAGTATACAGTATGAATTATTAAATAAAATATAGGCATTGCTACTATGTTGCAATTTTTTTTACGAGGCCTCAACATTTTGTATTGTACCATCATAGCCCACAGAGTTAAAGATCAACACCGAAAAAAAACCACGAGGCCCTGTGCGGCGGCACTTCATATTTATATAGTGTTTCTAGTGATGGCTCTAAATTTGTTGTCATCGTGATCATTACAGGTATATTTAAAATTCATGACGGAAAATCCGAGCATATAATTTATCTCATACCTATACGTCTATATAATAGATTCTAGAATTTAGTCTTTCACTATGTATAATGTAATATGTATACATGTTCATGTTCAACTATATATGGGTATACCTGTGTAACTATATTATTAATTTGTATTGTTATTAATTTTTTAGGTTCGAATTATTTGTTTTCCTCTATTCCATTATTTCAACATAATTATTAATGTATTATTGTACACTTGAAAAACAAATGGTCGTGATGGGGGAAACTTCGCTTATAATCCCCCACTTCACAGTAATCAACCCGCCGGCTATTCACTATTCAGTCGATCATAGACGTTTACACTGGCTGGCTTAACCATATTAATAATAGTATAAGATTTAACCATTTGATTTTAAGCAGTTATTTATGAATCGGCGAACAATTATTAATCATGTACAATTAGTTTTAATATAATAATATCTATTTAGTGTTGTTATCTTATTAAATTTGAAATATACATTCGTCGTCGGTCGATGACCATGAAATCTTCGTTCTCCTGGATAACGTGTTTTTGTTTAATTTTTGGTACGTCATTTTAATACCTAACTAATCCACTATAATATTTATTGGCTAATTACTTATGTTTATATTATTCAAATAAATACAAAGTATAAATTTAAATATAAATCAATCGTTTAGGTATTCTAAATAGGTATATAATAAAACATAAAATACATATTATTCACAAATTTCTAAGCTAGACATAGGTTGTACCACCAACATAATATTGTCTCAGCAGTATATTAGGAGAGACTGGAGACAAAAATAACATGCTGAATATACCTTTGCAAGATAACTATTAAAAATCGGTAGAGAATAGATACTTTGCACCTTTATATGAGACATATTGTTGATCCATATTTTGTCGTTTTCCTAATTTTTTTACCAGAGTAACAAAAAAAACCTGATATCGGCCTATCTAAGTCATACTCAAACCCTACTTATGGTTTAAAGAAATATTAATGCAACATTTAAAATCAACCATTTAAACAGGAAGCTATTTTTCATGACTTAGATTTATAAAATTAGTAAAAATACTTTTTTAATTTAAAGTTTAAGCTATTTCTGGCTTGTATAATAGTAAATATTCCTAATCTTAAATATTTAAAAATAATCCATTTGTATTTAAAATACTATACAGGATGTTCAACTATGATTTTTAAAATTAGTAAAAATACTTAAAGACCTTATTTTAAAGTTCTTGAACGTCTTGAGGACTTAGAAGAATAGGATTTGTGATAAAATTTTCTATTTTTAGAAGGGGGTCCCCTTCCCCTTTTTTATTATAAATTTTGTTGTGAATAATTTTTTTTAAATGTACATGTACCTAATTTAAAATTTAAACGAGTAGTTTCTCAATTATTAAAATGTGGCCTAAAATAATAGTCCTTAAGAGTAGTTTATAAAAATATAAAATATATGACGTAATATTGAATCTAGTATTATTATATTTGTAACTTAGTACTTACATACTTACTCGGACCATTTTTATAAATTATAAATAATGATGAATTAATATTATTTATTAATAAATTCTTTGAATTTCCATAGCCCCCCCCCTCATATCTTCCAAACCCGTCATCATCTATCATTACAAAGGTAAACAACTTCAAAACTACTAATTTGAATTTTGATTTTGATGGGTCAATATTTTTTAGTACATTTTCTGACAAATAATTTACAGAAGAAAAGGAACGTTCTCATCTGAAAATCAGAAATTTATATCTTCCCAGGACACATCTTAGGTACTTAGTACAAATAATCTCAATAATTTGAAAATATGGTTTTTAAGTATATTTAAAAATTCCAAAAATATGATTTTAAATAACTGCAATAGTTAAGGAAAAAGGGGTGAGTATGCTTGCCGAATCACTCTATATACTAACTTCAAATAAATGTATTTATTCTAATTTGTGTAGCCCTGTCTTTTATACATAAATTGCAATATTTTATTATTTTAGAAACGGGCATTTTGTGTGATAGAAAACTTGAAAAACGACAAACCATATTTTCTTGCCCGGGGTTGGTAACTATATATGCTATGTTTTCACAATAAATTATTATAAATTACTATTAATTAAGTTAGACTATTTAATATAAATATAGCTTTTACAAAATATATTTTAAGTGCTACAATTAAAATAAACTTAATGTAAAAAAATTAATTAAATTCTATTTTGAAATCATATTTCTATTACCTATGTTTATTAATCATTTAAACTGTCAAAATGTTAAGAATCGTGTTGGTATATTGTATATATATATATATATGTATGTTATACGTTTTATTCTTGTATTATATTATGTGCAATATAAAATATTGTGTTCTAGATATAATTTATATTTAATATATTTTACTTTTAAACCACATACGTCATACCTATGAATAATGATAAACACACTGAGATTATAACACAATTAATAAGTTTACTTTGATTCAAAAAAGTGTAACGGAATATGGGTGTGGATCTGGCCAGTGCATTGATGTCTCGGATACTTGTAATGGAATACGAGATTGCAGTGATGGATCGGACGAAACTTTACTTTTGTGTGAAACGCTTGTGTAAGTCGATTGATATTTTTAATAAACTTAAGTAGGTACATAAAATATAGTTCATATTGTCATTGTACATTAAAGGTGTCCACAGTACACATTCAGGTGCAAATATGGTGCTTGTATCAGTAACAAGAATTTATGTGACGGCATCAAACAGTGTGCTGATGGTTCTGATGAAGAAAAGTGTTCCATATCAACATTTGCGAGTTCAAAACCTATAAAAACTGATACAACAAAACCAATAACGCCGTCTCGAATTAAGTAGGTTAATCCTACTTTGAACACATATATAAGAAAGTCCTATGAATTTAAGTGTACTTAAGTCCTGCAAAAAAATAAATTACTAGAATTAATATATATATTATATTGTATTTTATAAGTTCCTAAATTGTTAGTAAGCAATTAAAGCTATTATTTCCATATATTGAAAAAATTACATGTAATAAAATAATTATAATATTGAATTGCATATGATAATCGGTAATTGAATACTTGTCATGTTGATTTTAGAAAAACTTGCACTTTACCGACAATAGAGGGCACAAAATATTTTTATAAAGATTGGAATCAAAATGTTTCTCTGTCTCATGCCACAGAAATTGAACAATATCGCATCGTTGAAGAGGACTGTGAAGCTGGGTTTTATAAAGTTGTTCCTTACAGATTTATGGTGTGTTCGGAATCAGGACAATGGAGACCATTTGTAAATGAAGAATTATGTTTGAGTAAGTGTCTATGTCCTATTTACTGTGTTGTAAACTAACGTGCGTTACTCGTTACTGCAACAAAGTTACATTTTTCGGTAACGTTATGGTAATTTCGTTATTATTATTTTTGGTAACGCAAGAGTAACTAAGTTAATTATTTAGAAGTAACTTAGCAGAAGAACGCGTTTACATTATAAATTTATCTTTTTTTTGGGAGTGGGATATATCGTGGTGTTACTTCACTAGGCAGTCCTTCCCCTCGAATCCGCATTAGAAAATGTAATTATACTAATAATTTAAATAGTATGTAATTACAAAATTTTTCCAGTATAATCTAATATAATTACATAAATAAACGATTTTGTGTTAGTATTATTTTCAATTTAACTGATTATAAACATCGATTACAGCTTATACAGGCAGCAACTCTTATAGTTTATTACCTTATTTATTTTTAGATCACCTTATAAAATATGTATTTTATAATCGCTTTGCTATAATTATTTTAAAATAAAATGCAAATTTAAATTTAAAAAAATATATATATATAAAATATGTAAGTACATCGAAATACTGACAGACAGTCGTACGGATTACCGCTAATAACTATTGGTAGGCTGGAGCTTTTTTCAACAATTCATAATTATATTATCACTCATTTAACATAAGAGTAACGTTATTGTAAATAGCTACTTTTAAGTAAAAATGTTACGTTACTCATTACTTTTGTACTTGAGTAACTAACAAGTAATCTAGTTACCTATTTTGTTTTGTAACTTGTGACGTAACTTAGATACTTTTAAAAAGTAACTCACCCAACACTGCCTATTTATTGTATAGTACCTATATTATTATAAATCAATAAACAGATTATGTATAAAATAAATTTAAGATACAATTTTTGGAAATAATAAAAACATGCCTATATTATTTAAATGTTACTGCTGAATGTGCATTAATTATATATTTTTTTATGTAACCAGAAATGTGTCCACCCATGAAATCAGATAGTTTAGATTTTGAATGCACCTTTGAAGATAAATATATTAGTTGCTTAACTCCAGTACCTGGGACTATATTGTATCAAAAATGTAAAGCTACTCATAGATTACTAAGCGGAGAGGAACAAGTTTCAATTCAATTACTTTGTCTGGAAAATGCAACATGGAGTGATGATCATTTATATACGTGTATTCCAAGTATTTAATTTCATATTATAATTATTATTATTACCAGCACTATGAACTCACAGGACTAAAAAACATGAAAATTATATAAACATAAAAATTTAAAAATATAGAAAACTATAAAACTATAACCTTCATAAAATTATTTATTGTGTTACTTATTAATATTATTACCTATTAAATTATTATGATTATAGCTTGTGGTCTACTGAATACTCCAAGCGATGTATTAAATGATGGAAAAGTAGAGTATGGGACAGTACCTTGGAGTGTTGGCTTATATCGACAAGTAAAAGGTCGTGATGGGTATTATGAATTGTTATGTGGAGGAACATTAATAGCTCCAAATAAAGTTATCACTGGTAAAAATGTCTACAATAAAACACATTTAAAGGAGAATAAATTAAGAATTTATTTTAATGTTTATAGCGGCTCAGTGTTATTGGGAAGAAGGGAACACGAATAAAATATTGATGAATGAAAATCAGAAGTATAAAATTGCCGTTGGAAAGTATACTAGTGACCTTTCTATAAAAGACAATAATTTTACTCAGATTATCGATGTAAGTTGAGCAAAAACATCGCTTGATCCTAAACATATTTACAAAACAATTTATAGGTGGGTTTCGTTTATCTGAAAGAGAGTTATTATGGTCCTTCTGGGTATTATGCCGATGATTTAGCTATTATCGTGTTACATACTCAAGTTACGATCAGTGACGTTGTCTTGCCAGTCTGTATCGATTGGTCCAAACAATATTCTGTTCCGGACGGATCTAACGGAAAGGTAATTTCGTTGAATATTTTAGATAATTAAGCGGAACTTTTTGAGCATACCTTGAACGGCTTGAACCGTAAAAAAAAATAATAACTCACAGAACTAACTAACTAAAAGAAAACAATATCCCTTATTTATTGTAAAACCAATTTATTTGTCACTTCCACCCAGAATCAAAATTTGAAAAAAAAAACGTGGAGAATTTTATTAATTTTTGAGTAGGAACGTGGAAAATTCAATCATCTTAATTTTAGTTGCTTAACAATAATATAAGTGTATGAGAAAGAATATAAGTATAAGGTACATTAAACAATTTGTTTTATATAGGTTGTCGGCTGGGGAAAAACGGAAAAGATCGAAACAAGTTCAGTTTTGTTAGAAGCAAACGTATCATATACTGATAAAAATACTTGTCGTGATATGTATTCAAATGGATTTCAATCATTGGTGACTATCGATAAATTTTGCGCTGTTTCTCGATTAGGTAATATAAGTTTGAAAAGAATATATTTCGCATAAATGCAAAATACATAATATAGGCACCTAGGTACTTATAAGTTATGAATTTGTTTACTCTTTTGAAAATATTTATCTGAAGATGTCTTGGGATTTCGCCTAAACTATTTCTTTAATAATTATTAATTATTTTATTGTCATGGCCATTTGTAGTACCTATATTAAATATTAACTAATCAATGTATATATTTTTATTATTAAATATTTTACTTTGGTGAAACTGTGAGTTTCTTTGTATCTATACGCGTGCACAAGTGTTATTTCTATCTTAAATTTCAGGACACAGTATTACTGAAGGATTTATTGGTTCAGGCTTAACATATGAACATGGTACTTTACAATTTTTAACCGGAATAGTGAGTGTCACGGATCCATACTCAAACGATTTAGTCGCTGTTTTTACGAATGTAAGTCACCACATTCAATGGATTCGCGAACGACTTCTCTAATGTAAGTGGATACATCGAATTAAAGTATCTAAGATATATTCATTCACTCCACACCAAACAATGTTTTCTTATTTAAAAACTATATTGTGTAAGACCCTTTTGTTAATATTACGAGACCTATTGTATTAAAAATTATCCACAATAAATTGCTTATAACATTATTTAGTTCAAATCCAACGCATGCCTGTTATAATATTTACATTCCTATAATTATATTTAATTTTTTGAAACATATTACTATGTCGATTCGCAAATAATAAAGTTTTACTAGTCAATTGTTAATAACCTATTATTAATAACAGAGTTATATTTTCTTAATCACGATATTTGGGTGGTCATATTTTGGACATTTTGTGAACATTAGGAGGTGTGTTATACATCACTCACATCTAAAAATTCCACGGACTTGGAAAAAGTAGAAAAACTTAAAGCTGATAACTGTGAGTTTTCATATTTTAGATTTATTAGAGAGGTCTGTACAATAGACTCTGTAGTAAGAGGTTTTAGTAGTTGGAAGTTTACTTCTAACTGTCGTTAAACTTTTTTGAAGAAATCGCAGAATTTGTGGATATACATTCAAATTAAAAATAAATACTAGGTGATTTTAAGTTTAAAACTTTGCAATGAACACTACTACTCCTTTAGTGACCTTTACAATAGAAACCTTTCATCAGGAGTAGCAGTCCATTGTTAAGTCTTATTAATTACTTCTTATTTCGGTATTCTATGAATTAAACAGGTATCAATGTATATATAAGTATTAACTGGCACCTACGTTAAATATAAATAGTGTTAAGTTCTAAGCAGGGGCAATGAATTAAAACAATTCATCTATACAAATCACTACCAATATTTATAGACATAGATAATTAAAGATCATCCTCACTGATCGACTGACCAGATTAGACTCTAATACTCTAAACTATAATAGATAGACACTTGGAATTTCGACAGTACCTCTTGATTTTTTCAAACCTATCAGTTGAAACCTAAGGTGGTTTTTCATACAAAATCGATTGATATTTTTTGATTTGCGTAGCGTTGCGACCAATTGCCATGCAACGCATGGTGCATTATGATATGGCTTTATGGCTATAAACGGGTGATATTTAAATGTCTATAACTTCGAAACTTAGTGCGATTGGCATATCATTTTTGCAGATCCGTTATAATTATTATAGTGTGGAAAATATCGTCGACTCGAAAAAAAAATGTTACTTTGGTAAAGAAGATTTGTTCCAAAATTTCTACTAAGGGAAGATATATACAATTAGTGTTTTTTTAAACTTATTTTACAGTTGAGTTGTTGTTACTTACCGAGAGAGGGATAAATTGAATGATGTCGGTATGACACAAATATTCTATTTCAAAGTTCAAAAATCATTTAAAGGTTTGAATTTTTTCTCGGACAACAAAATGCAAGAGGCTACCCATAAATAGATGCAGGTCTGACCTCTTTGTTAGTAATTATTGACAAGTTTATTAGGCACGTTACGGTATGCTCGTAGCTCATATATAATATAACTGGCGAAAACACAACAGTTGAATGATTACAGGATTACAGGTCTAATTTATCCATGTGATATTTGAATAATCCACAGATCGGGTTTATGAAAACAACAGGAAAAATTGCAAGAATTATAACTTTGCGGTAGAAAGGCAGAAATTGCTATGTTGGTCATTAGCTCATTTTTAGTATTTTATACTGATATGTTGGGTTTATTTCACGAGGTTCAAGGTTCAACACATATACATAAATAGTAAGTATGCTTAGTTTTTAGAAATTGAACAGTTCAAGGTCTGTGTTCGACGTACGGTTAAAAGTTCTGTTCGACATATTATTAAAATGTTCGGTTCAAGACCATATTTTTCAATTCGACTCTCCTCACTAGTTTCACTATATCTGAGTGTTTTTCTTATTATGTTTTGGACATAGCCGGTTTCTACCAAAAGTATACCTTTCCCTTACCTCAGTTAAATTGGTGGATTCCGTTTTTTGCCAAAACCATAAATTATTCACTTCTCTGCAGTCTACAATATCTTACGATGTTTAAAATTATAATCGTAGGTCGTGTAACGTGTGTACTGACATCCATGTATTATTGTCATTTCTTACATTGTTTTATAATTATGAGGCTCGAATAACGACATTTACTAAAGTACAAACTTATAAAAGTAAAAATAAAGTAACTATATATTTTATTTTATTGCGTTCAGTTTTAATTTTTTTACCCATAGATAAATCAACAAAAAAATCAAAAATGTGTCAATTTAACAAATAATTTATATTTTTATATCTATTCAATATTTTGTCCTCCACTAATGGATACAATCATTTAATATTGTTTGAATGCTATATTGCTATAATATCCTTTAAGTTATTTCATATGGCAGAAAGGTAAATATAGACGGGAACGGGAAAGAAATACTTTTGGCGGAAACGGGTACTTTCCGTTAAGCTATAGTCACATTATTTGTGAGAAAAAAACAACATTTTTGGAATTTTCATGTTAAAATCATAATTTAAAAATTTAAAATGTATTTTCCAAAAAGTTACTAAAATTACGTATCAACTTCCGCAATATTCTCATAGAACTATCATTACGATATAGCAGTTACACTATGATTAATTTACTGCATGCTCGTCGACTAAGCTACACGAATATAATAACATATTCTATTATATTAATATAGTGTCATTATAACATGTTTATTTCGAATTCGAGACTGCTTGATCCTTGAATTCCGGTATGAAAAATCATACCAACAGAATTCTAAATGATAATCAAAAAACCTAGACGCAATCCAAAATAGCAAAGTTAAACTACTCGTCAAAACACGCTGTAATCGATGTAATTATCCGATATTTTTGCGAGATCTAAGCATGAATTAGCAGTGAATACCTGTAGCCGAGAGAAATACTTGTTTTCATCGTATTTTTTATGACGTAGTGAGGAGCGTCAAGGTCGGAAGAGTCTGGGAATCTTTAGTTTAATATATTATGTACCTACTGGTATGTTTGTATAGATATTTGAAACTCACGGTTCGCAGTAGCATAATATTCTATTAATAATATTAATAAGTGCGATGTGCATGTCTGATTCCCCGTACAACGCGTTAAGTCTAATATATAATATTATATATATTTTATATATTTTATATACTATATACAGTGTACAATGTACATATTATTATAATTATATATATAAAAACTTAAATGTATGTATACATAGATAACCAGTTTTACACACATGCCTGAGCACATAAAAACATTATAGAATACATTAAATTTGAAAAACAACAATTTTTTTCGTTCATGAACCTACGTATATTTTTCATTACTTACGTACGCAAACTGATTGTGTGACGCCCTTGATTGTAGCGTGTTTATAGGTTGGTTATTTGGAGGGGGCTGTTGTAAATTGTTCATAATGTGTTATCTTACAATTATAATATCTGTATATTATCGTATTTAAAACACAATTTGCATATTATAACGTGCAAAATGTGTACACCTATAAGTTAAATAATGAGAAGCTTCCAAAATAAAAATATGATGCATAACTGTTGTACGAATATAAAAGGAACGTCGTAACCTAAACAGAATCAAACAAGAACCTGAAGCCCAGTCAGTCAATTCCTTACTAATTAATCCGACAGCAAATTGACTATACTATGTAAAAAAAATATCAAAAGCAACCATACCGAACGACCAATCCACGATACAATCTCTAGAGTAGTCTAGACAATAGCATAAACAATGCTAAATGTAATTATTACATTTGTTTTTTCTGTTAATCCCAACATCGGAGCTATTTAGGTAGTATAACAACACCAAGAATTAATCAATTTCTCAGCTATCCATGGTACCTACTTAACATAATTTTGTCAATAAAGACGGCTTGGTGGTCACTGGGACATTTTTTCCCCGACTTCTTCAAATAGGTATACATATATTACAAGAGATTTAAAAATAACGTATTAAACCGTTTTGTACAATATTAAATAAATATTAAAACATATAATAAACAGTCATGCTTTATTTTTGTTACATATAATATCTTTATGATATCTTTACTGTTTATCGTGAAATTATCTTAAATCATACATTTGATTTTAGCTATCATCTTAATGGATTGCGATTAAAAACAAACTGTGAAATGTTTCGTTTTTAACATAAAGTACGACTCTACCTAGTTGACTCAAAACACGGACCTGCAGCTCTTATTCATTACAATAATATGGCACTTCAATGTATGGCACTGAGTAGGTAATACACTGGTTCGTTCAAAATCGTTTCTACGAATGGACGAAGACAATACAAATAATTCATGTGATAAATTTTTGTTATTCATTTTCCCAAAATTACAACGTATAGGTGCGCATTGAAAAAATAACCTTAGGAGGGAAACGACATCCATGTTCTCCCACCTTTCTTAAAAACAATAACCATAACTTTGGTTCTCCTGAATTTCAATCAATACCGCATCTGAACCATTACTAATACACAACATCTACCTGCTAACAGTTGTATCCCTTAAAATTCAAAAATAATACATATTTCCATAAGACCATAACCAATACATGTGTGATATTTTTCGGTGATTGTTTTCAATTTTGTAATAAATAGTATTTATTTTTTGCATATATTATTTAATATAACACAGTAAAAGTACGTACTTAATTTATAGTTTTGCGAATATCATAATATTTATTTACTGCGATATTTTTGTCATCGGCCATGAAGTCAGCATATACTTTTATTCTGGTTATATACTCATATTTCGTATTTGGTACGTATATTTTTATACTAAATACATTGCAGTGTATGTTAATGGAATGTAAGTTAAAATTTTAATATATCAAGTACGAGTTTGGAAAATAATTAAATGTTTAAGGTATTTTATTATCTTAATAATGCTCTTATATATCATGATCTATGACACAGTCACATAGATATACGTATATTATAGAATATAGGTGCATAAGACATATATAATGGAGATTCCTTAAAAAACTGAAGAATGGTCCCTGTTAATTTTGGTGTTTTCGAAAATTATATTACGGTGTAATTTTAAGCACTATTTAAACTATATTTTATAAATCTCTTTTTTCACAACATTCTCTGTTAGGCAAGTCGTTAAAAATTAAAACAATTAGCTTATTGAATGATGATAAATAAAATAAATTAGTGACATGGATTTAACAGTGATGAGCCTCCTGCCTTCGTCTCCTCGTCTTCAAAAATTAATATAATTTTATATTTTTACATTTTTATTCAGATAATGTTAAGCTTCTCGAATATTTGTATTAATTACAACAGAAAACATACTACATATTTTAAATTTTTATAAAAATGATGAAGCATTAATAATGAACATTATTATAATAGTTTCTTTTTAAATGTATCTATACTCATTGGATGTTGACAAAGTACCTACCGTATTGAAATATTTTGCAGTGCACCTATCATCAGTCGCATGTTATTAACTCCTACACGAATAACCTCTTTATATTTTTACCCGAAAATCAAGAATAACTGTAATCTCCTACATAGACATTTTTACCTGAAAAAAATAGGGTAATATCCTACACCAACATTTTTACTTGAATACGTGATTTTGGTACAGGTAAAAAGCTCAAAAAGCTAAAAATGATCATAACTTAAAAAGTTTAAAATAATAATAAATTACAAAAATATATTTTCATATATAAAATACAAACATTTGAATATAATGTGTATATTATACGCTAGTTGTGTATTATGAGTTATGACAACAGTAAGATACCAACAGCGGAGATGGTATACCTCTCCATGTATACTATTTTAGTATTATTATTTAGTATTATTTTTTTTTATACTTCCATGTTGGCACTTGCAATGCAAAATTTTTAAAATAGATCAGCGATAGTATGGTGTTGAATATTGTCGAATACCGATAGAATATGATAATCTCCTTCGTATCTGTAATTCTCGAACAAATTGATGCGTATTGCCAACACTAAATTGGAAAAAAAATAATTTATAATATTTATTATTTTATTTTATATTTTATAGGAGTCAACAATATCTTTTGCAGGAGTTACCACTATGTCTATGTAGGAGATTACCTACATTTTTAGGAGTTTACCATTCCCCCTATCATCTACCATATAGGTATATATATATATATATGTAAAATATTTAAGTATTCAATACTTAAAATGTAAAAAAAATGATCAGCTTAATTTATATTTGTTATATATAGTACATAAAAATATTCTTAATAATATTACACTATACGAAATTTGAAACGAAAATATGGACCGTATTGAAAATATACAACACTGTTTTATTGATGAACGAGGAATTAGGTTTGAGTTTTTCGTTCGTTCTTTCAACACTATTTTTTTTTCGAAAATGTTAACTACTGTGATGGTTAACTTAACAAATAAAAAAGACCAAACATTACAAAATTATATTTACTTAATTAGATTAAATGTATTTATTTAAATTATTTTATGAGTATAATATTTTTGCTTATCTTTAATTTGATAAAAAAAACCTTCATCCTTCGTAGTCGTACGATAATAAAATACAAGAACCGTTCGATAGCTTATCTATTACCGATGTCCTGGATAACATCTTTTTAATAAAAATTAATATTAAATTATCTTAAATTCAAAATATACATTACAGTGACCCACTCAATTACGGGGTAACTAATTCATACATATTATTGCAGTACAGTAGAACTGTTATCTAGACAATTTTACAAATTATAAAATATTGATGGATTAATATTAAGTTGACACATGCTAACATTTTTAAATCATCATAGCTCCTCTTCCAAATCCGTTATTATGGACCTATAAATATTCTTAATACAAAAAGTCAAATAACTCGAAAATTATTTGTTCAAATTCCAAAAAATTATTATTATCAACATTTTATTATAAAGTAATTATTTTAATACCTATGTCATTTTATTATTTTAGAAACAATCATCCTATGTGATAGAGACATCAGAAAACGACAAACTGAACCAACTTGCTCAGAGTTAGTATAATAATTATTAACCATTGACATTAAGTAATTACTATGGTTTAACTTTATAACATATTTTTAAGCATCTATACATTATAAATAAGTCGATAGAAGGTAAAAACGGTTAAGAATATACTGAATCATGTAATAAATTTAAGATTTGTGACAATTTATAAATTGCAAATACATTTTTACGAAGGTTAATAGGAACCCATACAATTTAAGTCGGTTCAGTTGATATTTCAATCAAAATTAGGTTTATTCTTCGACAAAGAAATAGTATGGGTACTTAATTTTAAATCCAATTCTTGGTTAAGTATAAAATTAGTAAGGTGACTGCTTATATTTTAGTGGTAACTCATTCATAATGGACAATTTATTCATATAAATAAATGTATCATGAGTCTTTTATTAAAGAATTTAAAGAAAATGGCGCTGCTACTTGGCTTGTATTATAGTTATTATTTGTATAACACAATTTAGATAAAATCAATTATTCAAAATCATAGGTTTATGAATATACCTCAAACACAGATTAACCCCAAGTATCACAAAAGAATAATTAAGTACTGAATAAATATTACTCATTGCATACTTAGTTTTTTTTCTCTAGAGAATCGGAGTACGCATGTCAATCCGGCCAATGTATTGATGTTGCATCTACTTGTGACGGATCTCAAGAATGCAGTGACGGATCTGATGAAACACAAGTCCTATGTGAATCAACCCCGTGAGTTGATTGAGATGATTAAAAATATAAACATATGTATAATACATTATAGAACTAATTTATTCATAAATAAAATAAACGAATAAAAAAAATTTAAATAATAAGTTATAAATTATTAAAAATATTCAATAAAAAATATTAATATTTTTCATTAAAGGTGTCCAATATACGGATTCAAGTGCACATATGGTGCTTGTATAAATATAGAGGGTAGATGTGATGGAATAACCCAATGTTTAGACGGTTCTGACGAGGAACAGTGTTCATCGTCGATAATTTCAGAATCTGAAGAAAACTCTGAACAAATTTCTTCAGGATCGACTACTTCAGAGCCGACAACTACAGAATCTACAACTACAGAATCAACAACTACAGAATCTACAACTACAGCATCTACAACTACAGAATCGACAACTACAGAATCGACAACTACAGAATCGACAACTACAGAATCGACAACTACAGCATCGACAACTACACCATGGAAAACTACACCATGGAAGGCTACAACACCGCCAACTACACCGTGGAAAACAACAGCATGGAAAGCTACAACACCCCCAACTACGCCGTGGAAAACAACAGCATGGAAAGCTACAACATCGCCAACTACACCGTGGAAAACTACAGCATGGAAAGCTCCAGCATCGACAACTACTTCATCTCCAGATACAAAAATCAAAGAAACCGAGTCAATAAACCAATCTCCTAATCAAAAGTACACACACTTATTTGATTATGTCTATTTCTATATACGTAATAACGAAAAACGTGTTTAATGAAAGGATTTAACATATCATTGTGATATTAATTTTGCATTTAGAAAACCTTGCGTGGTACCAAACATTGAGGGTACTAAACATTTTTATAAGGATACGATTCAAAACGTTCCTCTATCACATGGTTCTGTAGTGAATAATTATCGCATAGTTGAACAGGATTGTGAGGAAGGATATTATAAAACTGTGCCGTACAAATTGATGGTATGTTCGGAGTCTGGACAATGGAAATCATTTGATTCTAGTACATTGTGTTTGAGTAAGTATCGTATATTTGTATCGATTTACATCACGTGAGCCAATATTAACGAGAAAATATAAGACTAGTAGCTAAATACTTATTATTACATTAAATAATATACAATTCAATATTTGTTCTATGATTCTAGAAAAGTGTTCTCCAATGGTATCAGATCTGTTAGATATTAAATGTTCACTGGATGGAAACAACGTAGACTGTTCAAAACCATCAGAGCCTGGTACTATATTAACACAATCGTGTAAAGTCGAAAATGCACATAATTCACCAAGAGGACCTAATGAGTTGCAGTGTCTTAAAAATGCAAAATGGAGTGGTCAACTACTTACCACTTGTACACCACGTAATTATACTTTAATGTTTTTAAACAGAATACTTAAATGCTAACCTGTCGTGAAGCAAATTGAACATTTTGGAACTCAATAATTTAGATCTCGAAATGGTTAAATTATTTCTATACACGAACATTTAGTTAACGTCATGATTTATACAATTTGTGATGCCTCAATTTATATATTTTTAAACTGCTAACATTTCTTTTTAGTTTTTAAGTTTAATTTATTCTAGAATTATCAGAGTATTAAATTATGTATTTAAATATTCTTATGATCGTGTCTATTACATATTCTAGATACAGAGATAACCTCAAATAGATTTAAAGAGCCATCTTTAATAGCACCTTGGAATGTGGAAATATATAAAATTAATAACTATGGTCGTTATTTCCGAATATGTGGAGGAACATTGATTGCTCCAAACTTAGTTGTATCTGGTAAAAATTATACAATACAATATAATATACGCGTAATACATAATATTTAGTAAAAAATGAAAAATGTATTTAAATTGTTTTGTAGCTGCTCATTGTTTTTGGAAAAAGGGTTTGAGAAGGACAACCCTACAAAATGAAAATAATGTTTTCAAAACTGCCGTTGGAAAAGAAAATACCAATTTTTCTGTAATAGACAATACATATACACAGATTATTGATGTAAGTAAATAATTAACATAAAATATAATATGTTGTCTTTGATGTTTAATGTTCAACATATTTACCAGGACAATAATGATATATATAATCTATTCAATTTTAGATCGGTTTAGTTTATCTGAAGGAAAGTTATAACGGTCTAGATGGGCATTATGCTGATGACATTTCTGTCATCGTGTTAGCAACCGATGTCGCCGTTAGTAATGGTGTTCGACCAGCTTCCATTGATTGGTCTGCAACACATTTCCTTGAAAATGGAGATCTAGGAAAGGTAAACTCATTGTTTACAAATAACTAACAACTCACTCCTTAATCTTTGTTATTGAGATAATTAGGTTATTTAGCCTTGGTATTTGGGGAAACACAAATTTGTATTTTTGATTCCATAAAAGTTTCTAAATTACATATCTGATTAATTATCAAAGTAATTTAGGTAGTTTAGATGACATTCACTCATCAATAGCAACTATTTAACAGTATAGTCAGTAACCCTTTACCTACATTGCTTAAATATATATTTAAGTATACATAATCAATGGTACCTATCTATCCCTATTAGTGACATCATCAACAACTGTCCTTATTAATTATTTTGCAATTTATTTTATTAATTTAAAACTAAAGTGCTTCCTTTAGAACAAAAAACAAATTTTTAAACCATCTAAGTTATGGTTTGCTTAATTTTCTATTAGTTACTTTATTTTATAAAACATATTTAATAATGAACTTCTAAATAAATAAAGTTTGGATATTATAAAAATTAATTGTCAAATAACATTAAATTGTGTTCATATTATACTTCATTGAAGTACTCTGTATTATTATAGATATTATTTATTTCAAAAAGTACGACCACAGTGCTTATTTAATCATAATTTTATACCACTTTAATGTATACTTTATAAATCTGTTTTATAGATGTTTGGCCTGGGAATGGACAGTACGATTGGAAATGGACAAACTAAATCAATATTAAAATTATATACTTTACCGTATATTGACCGAAAGACTTGTCAGGAAATGTACAGAGATGGATTTGAAAATTACGTGACTAAAGATAAATTTTGCACAGGTTATAAATTGGGTAAAAAAAAACTAATGATTCTTGTAGCTATAATAGGTATTCTATTGAACGGAATTGGAGCTCAGCTGTGTAACATTTTTTAAAAATAATTTAAATTTCATCAGTCTTATAGACAATTTCAATTTGATATAACAACATAAACCTTTTAAGTACAATTTTTATCAGAAAAAAGTGTAGATGTGGACAAATCTTATTATATTCTCGGTTCATTCAAAATTGTACGATGTAAAGCAGATCAAAGCAGATCAAAGCGTACTTACATAGTGTTAAACATCAATCAATTACCATATCACGTCGGACAGAATAAAATATTAAGTTATTTTTATTTATTTTTTTATTTTTCAAAGCCTTCAGAATCATAATATATCTTTAGAGATGTTCATTTATTAAAGGTATTTATATAACTGAGCTGAATAAACCATTATATAGTATTTTATTGTTCACTGAAAATAATAAAACCATACTGTAATTTATTATATGTTTCTGTGTAGGTGATGGGTATAAACTATAAAACAAACGTACTAATATTTTAAAACTTTAGTTACAGGAGAAAGAAATCTTATAGGATTTGGCGGTTCGGGCTTAATGTATGAATATAGCACAGGACCATTTCTAACTGGAATATTTAGCGTCAAAGATCTACACTCAAAAAATTCGATAGCTGTATTCACTAGCATAAAAAGTCACGCCCAATGGATTCGCAATATATATAACAATTATGTATCCTAAGTATATTATTATGTATAATATAAATTGTAACTGTATATAACACATATTATGGTAGTTACTAGCTATTGATAGTGAACTGTAAAAATAAGTAAGGAAACATAACTACGTATAAGAAAACCCGACATGTATTATTGAATTTTATACATTCATATAACTTTTCACAATTTATGCATTATTTAAATCATTTATCATTATTAAGTGATTTTTAATGAACCATAAATAAAAGATTGTTTATATTTTTTTTAAATAATTTTCATTTTTGTAAAATAAGCTTTGTCAATTATTTTAGTGTCATTATAAACACAATATTGGAGCCTGGTGTGGCTCGGTGATTTGCCTGTCACTTACGTGTTCTGAGGTCAAACATCAGCCGGCGTCGCTAGTTCCCAGATGGGTGACCATCCGGGTTTTTAGTGACGAATCCTCGTCCCACATACACGTGTTCTTCAATCAACCGTATAACCCCATACAAAGTGATAATGGCCATAGTAGCCGATATTTATGATCGATTAAAAATAAACAAAAAACAGCAATATTTATTTTTATATCATTTAAATTATAATTAATTTACACACTTGAATAATAATTTATTGCATATTTGCATTATAATGTCTATGCAATTATATAAATAAGTACCCTATTATAAGGATAAATACTTTAAGGTTATTATACGATTGACTAAGAACGTATAATATTGAACAGTTCAAAAAAATATAATAACCTTCAAAATTAATTGGAATTTAAAATAAAGTTATTATTCTAAACAAGTTTAATTGAATTGTTCATGATACTTTACTAGAAAAATAACCTCCTATGCAATTTGAATATCAGATATATAAATAGATAGGGAAATTGGATATTAAATGTCACAGAATGGTAATAATGTAAGTTGTCAAAAACCTTAAAAACATGGTTGGCATAACTTGAAAATCAGATGATCGTATAAATAATAAATATAGTTGTATATACACGTCAAATATTATGGTATGCTGTTTATACTTGTAGATAAATCAAATTCACTTTTATGAGTGAACTAAAAAAATTATCGATATTAGATATCTACTCTTAAATTGTTAACGAATTCTCATCATTATTTTGTAATAATTTAAAAACGAATGACTTTAAATCCTTGAAATTTTTTTTTTTGTGTTGTTTATTACAGTATATAAATACTGGCGACGATTAGGTAAATAAAATAAATTGTTTTATATACTTCGCTTAAACATAATGTTTACCGGCGTATTGTATAGGCAAAATAGGTACATGGAAATTGGAATCAATTATAATATAATCACTTATAAAACATTTGTAGTGCTTACGATTCATGTTCATATACATTGCTGACTGGCAACCACTTACTAATTTTCCAACTCAACGACTCGATATTAATTATACTCAGATTTACATAGTATATTGGATGAGAGTGTGGAGGTAAATATTGTGATATTTGAACGTCACTCACTGACTTTTGAAGACATTAAAATATTAAATATAAATCATTTTGCCAAATATTAAAAAATTACAATAGGTACTCAATAACTCTTAACGTAGTAGTAACGTAAATCAATATAATATTATGTCTCTCATCTCAGACCATTGATCAAAAATAATTATCAATGAAAATGGAATAAAATTATTTACACTATATATAATATATAGGTACCTATGTAGGTATTTAGCGAATAGGTAGATAAAATCTGATATTCTGATGCGAGTCTTGTAACGTTTTGGTAGTTGGTAGACTGGTAGTTTATACTATCATCGAGTAAATATTTAATGTATATATTATGATGTACTCAATGGTACAGTTCTAATGCCTACCTTAAGTGAATGTGCTGTGTCTGGTGTTGCAAAATACAAGATATTTTTTTTCCTGCATGAGTACAAATCAACTAAGACACTGATTAATTGTGAGCATAGACCACATAGATTTCTATGTAGTATTATAATATAGAAGTATTTGGCATATACCTATAAACTAAGGATAAACTATAGTCTATAGGTCTATGGTTGTGGGTGCCCGCCAAGTGCCACCAACTTCTTCACTCAGATATGGCGGTCGGTCGGTTATCATTAATAATTACTAATTTCTGTTTTATTAAATACAAATTATGACAATGGCCTTAAAAATAATACTTCTTATAGTTTTTAAATGTACCGGTCTTGAGGTTGAAGTGAATACTAGACTGGGGAGTGGGGAACGGTTACACGAGTCGCCTGCAGGTTTACGCACTTGAAAACGGTTGCCCATTTTCCCCAGTTCTTCACAACTATAACTCAAGTAATATTTTGACTACAATGTTTTATACATGTCACATTGACTGTCTTTTTATTATGATTTGGTGTTACGAGTTCTTTAAGCTGGCTACATAATATTAGTATATTTTGTATCCTGATTTGGACATGTATGGCTGTATAACGATTTGATATCGTAAATATATCAAATAAAATGTTTGATAATATTTTTGTATTTAAACTTGTATAAATAAAAAAAATGGTACTTAATTTTATCTTCATATGGTTTGTTCATAATTAGATCATTACCGAGTTTTCACCGGTCAGACTTATTGTCAAACGCTTCCTCCACGAAGTCGACGCGTGAGGCCAGTGCCATGAAAATTGCTTACCTATGTGTCCATGGATGTTTTAACGTTTTCATTATCATCGCCACTGTATAAGCATGGCAGATGTAATTGACAAATGCATAAATATATTTTATGGTGTTGGGTAGAGACGGTCAAAGGAAAATAGATTGTATTTTATAAAATACAGTTAACAATTTAAAATGGTAATCACCAACGCTTTGATTCAAGCTAAAGTTGCAGACATAAAAAATGTCTAATTTAAATATAAAATATGTGTGTTATAATGCATAATATTAATAATATAACCTTAAATTGCTATTTGATTAAAACAAGAATTAATATTTGTTAAATTATCAATTGAGATAAATACTTATAGGCATAGCTCTTATAGCTTAAATATTAAATAATCATATTAAGTAAAATAGGTTTTAGTTTATACACTAAACATTATACTAATAAAGTTCAATAAAATTGTTTATTATAATTTAGGAAATTAGAAAGTTAAGTTAATATTTTTCCATATCAACTTTCAACTTATAGAGTTAAATTTATGATTTGTTGACAGTTAATTTCTAACTTATTTTTCTAGAGGTCTCTCAACTTAACTATTAGTTAATTATTTTCATTAAATTTTTCTCCTTTGCCACCATTATTATTCTATGTATACTACATTACTACTGATGTCTCATATAAAATAAAGTATGCTGAGGTACACTTACACAAACAACACACATATAATTTTAAAACTAATATATTTAATCTTATAATAAAATCATTGTAAAATAGAGTTTACAAAACTCATCATGATATGTTTGATTAAACTATTACACAAAGGAAACTACCGTAAAAGTATATGGCACGATAATACCATGTTATTCAAAATTGAATTGACTTGTTCTGTCTTCAGCTTTGTGATATACTTACGAGTATGTATGTATTTAATAATCATAACTAAAATTATTTATCATTTATTGTTCTATGTTATAATATAAAATACAAAATATAATTAAAATAAAATTATACTACTCTTACATAAATTATGTTCATATTAATAATTCACATTTTTGATTACACGTTAATTAATAGAATTAGTTTTATGAATATGTCAAATATCTCCATACATTTATTAAAACTATGACAAAGTATGAATTGGTATACAAAAATGTATCCTGTTTTGTTCTATAAGTATTTTAATTACAGTTGGGTATAACATTACATGGCACAAAGTATTATTTTAAATATTTCTTATTTATATTTAATACAAACAATATCTTAACATCAATTAGCAAACATCAATTTCTTTGCTGATTTTAAACACGATAATATATTGATTATGAACCGATAATTTATGTTTTTTTTTTTTTTAAATTAGAATTTTTCTCTTGTTAAGAGAAAAAACTTAATTGTATTACTCACATAAAGTAACATGCAATTGCTTAGCAATTGCGATTAAAACATTACGTCCTTTTTGTTTGAAATTTGTTACTCTGTAATAAATAAAGAATTTCGATAAATTGTATGAATAACTATTAACTATTTAATAATATAATGTATTAAATTCTTCCTTACTCATTACTGAAGTCAGAGGTTTCTAAAATAGAAACGCCTCGGTCAGCATTTGTATTATTAATGGTGCAGTTATCACCAAGTGGAGTTCTAGTTTTGTCATGATCCATCAAAGTTTTATAAAGCAGTTTCACAACTGGTTCAAGATCAATTGTTATTGTTTTGCTCAATTGAAACGATAAAGTGTAGACATAAGATATTGCTGATAGTAATAAGACACAGTCCTGTAGTAAAATTTAAAAAAAACCGTTAATACAAATGCATAATGATTCAAGAGTTTTTGTTATAAATTTAATAATTACATTTTTAAATACATCAGATGAAAATATTACAACTGCATTAGACGAAAAATGTTTCCTCAACTTTGCATTGCTTAAAATTACTGATGCTAACTGATAACTAGCAAATGGCATTTCTGTGAGGTGTTCATTTAAATCAATTTCATCGACCTAAAATGAAAAAATATTACAGATATAAGCATTTGTCAAATACATTATATTTAAAACACATAAATTGAGTTATAAGTATAGTATGTATGATGTATTAGAATATGAAAAAGTAAATTTGAAACTAAAATTATTTAAATACTCACTTCTCGAATCTGATTAGCAATAATATTCATTATAGTTTCAATAAGTGTCATAAAAACTTGTTGGAATTCCACTGTATTAATCTTGTAAATTTCCAAAATCAGCATAATCAAGTTACAACGAAATATTTTTGGATCCTAAAAATTATTTTGTACATTAAAAATCTAGTTGGCAGTTTATTACAGCTCATTTTTGATTTTAACGTCAATGAACATTTAATTTATAATAATAATTGTTACACTTAATATACTGTTATAACCTATAACAATAGAATAATTATAAATTTACATACTCATGTTGTAA